TGGAGCCCCGCACGGCGGCCCGGGGGCGGCGGGCGGCACCGCCTGGCCGGCCGGGGGGCGCGCCAGCCCCTGCGCGCCCCGCACCGCGGCCCGGCCCGCCGAGGTAAGCACCGAGCGGCCCCCGGCCCGCCCGGCCCCGCGGCGGGGACCCCCCGCGCCCCGCTCCGCTCCGCTCCGCTCCGCCCGCCGCCGCGTCGCCATTTTGCCGCTCTCTCTTCCCCTCCCGGAGCGCGGCCCGGCCGGGCCCGGCCCTCCCGTCCCTCTCCGTGTCGGCCCCGCTGGGCCCGGCCCGCGGGGGAGCCCCGGCCGCCTCCCGGGGATGGGGCGCGGGCCCGGGGGGTGACAGGCCCGGGCAGTCGTGACAGCGGGGAGGGGCTGTGAGGGGACGCGGGTGGCACGGCCGGGGCGGGAGGTGACAGGACAGAGGTCCCCGCGCCCCGGAGGTGACAGCGGCGCCGGGCAGAGCTCCCCGCGCCCCGGAGGTGACAGCGGCGCCGGGCAGAGCTCCTCACGCCCACTGACCCCCGGACAGGGGACACCCCGGTCCCCCCAGGCACGGCGAGGGTTCATTGTCTGCCAGGCACGTGCGGGTTCTTTTCCCTTCGTGTCAGTGCCCGGGGACACGGAGGAGACGGATGGGATAACGTGCCTCGAACAGAAACTTTATACGCTCAAAAAGCCTCGTCTGCGCCTGGTCACAGCCATGTGCGGCAGGAGCGGAGGCTGTGGGTGAGGCGATTGCCTCCTGGAGAGCCTCAGGGTGTCAGTCGGTGTAGGTGATGGGGATGGGATGCTCCGTGTCCCTCCGGAGCTGCCCGGCCGTCAGCCGTGCCCAGGAAGGCAGCGGCTGGCAGGGCTTCACCTGCCACGTGCTTTCCTCCCGGGGAAACCTCCAGCAAGGGTGATTGCGCTCCCTCCCTAGGAAGCCTCTCCCACCGCTTCCTTGTCTTTGTTCCCTGGAAGTTTTTCCCAGCGACTCCAGTTCTGCCTGGAGTTCATGGGAGAGAGCACGGCTCCTCTGACAGCAACAGGAATGGCAGTGCCCTTTGGCATCCGTTGTCTGCGCTGGCCTCATTGCGTCTCTGCTGGCACATGGCTTGTGCCGGGGCAGCAGCTTTCTTGCATTTTGGCATTCCCGGCACTGGAACTGTTGGTAAATTATTGATGATAAGTGGAGTGGACCGATGGGTGACCAGGCGGTTGGTGCATGACACGGTGCCTCTGTGGGGATGGGACTGGGGCGGGAGTCCCAGCAGGAGAACTTGCGGTCAGGACTCGTGGGTGATGTTCCCCCTGGCAGCCATAAGGATGTCGTGGGACTGTGAGAGGATCACAGCCGTCCCTGGCTGCGTGCATGCTCCTGTGGGCCTGATCCAAAGGCAGGCATTTCTGCATGGAATTATTTCCGCTTTCCCGCTTTATGCCCAATTTTCAGGCTGTGCCCAGCCCTCAAAGCCTGACAGCTCTGCAGGAGGGATTTGTCACAGTGGGAAAAAGCCTGTTGGGACTGCCACTGGCTGGGATGTGGCTGTCCCTTGTCACATCCCACAGAGAAGCTCATGGCCGTGCCGGCCAGGCTGGGCTGCTGGTGGCTTTGGAACAGTGCCTTTGGTTCCCAGACTCCACTCCCCCTTCCCACAGCCATGGGTTTCCTCCTCACCCTTGCTCCTAGCAGTGCCAACTTGACCTCTACTCATCCTGCGCTGGCTTCTGTGTTGATAGACGTTTTTTTATGTGGAGCTGGATTGGGATGCTTCAAAAATATTGCCACAAACTTCTAAAAAGTTACCTAAAAAGAGCTGGAGGCTTCGTAAGATGCTACCAGTCCCAACCTTCCCACACCATATCCCAGCCCTGCTAATGGCTAGGATGTGCCAATACCTTCTCTTCCCATTACCAGCAAAAGGGTTCTCACTTTTGGTGAGAAAAACCTTAAGGAAAGCGTGGAAGGGCACAGGCTGTTGCCCATTTTGGTGTGTGTTACTCAAAAATGAGTGAGAAGTTTGGATATTACAAAAAAACCCACAATGGCTTTTGCTGATTTTTGCTCTCTTGCTCTGGGACAATTCCTCTGCGATCCCTGGGGTTGTATCGGTGACCGAGGAGCAGAGTTTGACTCTTGCTAAATGGTTTATAGGATTTTTATCTTTCATTTAATCAAAAACCAAGAAGGGGAAAAATTCAAGGAAGTATTTGGTGTGGAAAAACAAAATATTCAGAACCCCTTAAGCTGGACAGAGAGGGTCTCTTTGAGGGGATGGATGTTTTAAGGGGAATGAGAAGCGTCCAGCTGCTGGAGCTGGGCTGAGCTGGGCACTTTGGACATTTTGGGAAGGGAGTGTTGGTGTGATGCTCAGTGGTGTGTGGTGCCACAGGGTGTTTGGGGTGCAGGAGGTGGGCCGTCAGCAGGGTCTGCCCTGCCTGTCACATCTTACATGTCACCTTGAGCTGCCCAGCAAGGTGGGCACAGAGGTTTTGTGCTCCGTCCCCCACTGCATTTTGGCACTAGGATAAAGGTGTCCCTGGATGCATAAAGTTTCAGCTGTGCAGGTTTCCCCTCGGTTTTCACCTGTTTTGAGCACAGAGATCTTGTCTTCAGCTTTCAGTTCTCTGGTCTTTTGTGAGTCTCTTTTTTTCCCCTGTTTTCTTTGAGCAACTTGATTAAGGATTGCTTAGAGGTGCCAGGAGGCAGCATGGGAAGGAAGGGGACTGGCATGTTTATCCCTGGAGAACTGGGGACAGTAGCAGTGCCGACATTAGTAGGAGTGGAGCAACGATTTGGGAAGGGGCTGCAGGGAACCCTCTCTTTGCCTGCTCCAGGAAGGAGCCGCTGGCAGTCAGGCTGCAGCTCCTTCCCAGCTCTCCCACTGAAAGAGCCCAAATTAGCTGAATCAACGATGCCCATGTTCAGCACCAAATGCCACAGAACCTGTTGCCAAGGCTGGAATTTCTCACTTGATCGGATTAACCTTTGTGTCCATGCAACCAACCACATACGTGTCACCAGCTGAGCTTTTGCCAGTTCTCTTCTCAGAGCATGTGGGATGCGTGCGATGTGCAGTCCCTGATCCCACACAGAAAGTCCCTGGGGGCACCTCAGAAAGAGCTGCTGGACCCTCATGTCCCACTTGTTGGTGGCATGGCTGGCAATCTGGCTATGCAGGAGATGCTCCCCTATTCCTCTGGGCATGAGAACAGGTGGAATGAGTCTGGATGCTCTGGGAATCAACTCTGTTAAATGACGCTGAACATGATCTTGTGGGAGGAACTGGGAGTGACGACTCAAATCCATGTTTTGAAAAAGCCTGTGGGTGAGCATCAGCATCACGTCCCAGCCAGGGTATCAAGGCTGTAGCGGTCTGGGCAATCGCTTCCCAAGGAGCTGATGCTCTCATTGTGAAGGTGTGGAGAACTTCTTTCCCCCAAATCCTTATGTGGCATCTCCCAGTGCAGCCCCCATCCTCTGACATGTCTTTGCTTGTGCTGTCAGGAAGGGAAGAAAGAACTTGAAGCCGGAGACAAAGGCAGTCATTCCGTGGGCTTCTTCCTGGCACCACCAAACGGAGGGGTGTCTTGCTGCCACTTCCTTCAGGAGCGAGAGTGGGCCTTCTGCGATAATTCCTGATGTTCATTATTTATAGAGAAGCCAAATTGAATTATTAATACAGAAAATTCAGATAACATTAACAATTCTCAGTTTATAACGGTTTCCCATTAATAAGGAAAATTGGAAATTTATCACTACATCTGTTCATTAAAACTCACTATTTTTTTTTTTTTTTGCTTTTGGTGTCTTAAATGAAAGCAGAGAAATAAACGAAGAGGGAAGGCCATTTATTCACTACTTCTCTGGGCAAAGTCAGCCCATAATTTTTAATAAAGTCTTTGCTGTTGTACGTGGAGGGGAAGCCAGGCTGTAATGAAAGCAGCTTTCCAGCCATGTCTGTGGCGTTCCTTGACCGTAGAACAAATACTCAGAAGCACGTCTCATTTCTTCTCTTTGTGGGAATCTTCAAGCTGCGTGATAGTTTGCTTGTTTCCCTCCCTCCCCAGCAGCTCTCCTTGCTTTCACCATGTGTTGTTCCCGGCTCCGAGCAGTGAATTTTAACGCCTCCCCTGCTTCTTTCAGAGATGGCGGATTCCTATACCTGCAAAGGTGGAAGGAAAGCTGCAGGCTCTAACAAACCTGCTGCCAGCAAAGAAAGCAGGACAGAGACAAGGATAAACCCGCCAGCAGAGCTGCCCAAGCTGGGTAAGGAACTGGTTTGTGCTTTCTATGGAGGCAGATGGGGCGGAGGGGATGAGCCCAGTGGCAGGGGTTGGGAAGTGGCTGCCAAAACAAGGGGGTGTGGATGCACTGGGTCTTGGGGTGTCTCTTTCTCACTTTGACCCACCAGCAAGAGCTGTGCTGGCCAAAAAAGCCCCAGGTCCTGGGATCTGCAGGGAGCTGGTCCTTGGGAGCGGGAGAGGAGGGATGGAGGTGGTCTCTCCCTTCGGAGAGGCGTGTGTCTGGCTTAACGAGATGGGTGTCTCACCGCCTATTTATCGTGTTGGTAGCTAAGTGTTACATCAAAGGATGGAAAGGCTTAAATGAGTTCAGACCATCTGCTGCCTCCCGTGTCGCGGCCCCCGGGATGGAGGCTTGCGAGCGTATGAGCCCCGGGGGACCCTCACGCTAAGGGCTGTCACGCTGATGGATGGCTGATTTCTCTATCCAGGAATCTCCAGGCTCAAGGAGATTTTTTTTTCTTCTGTCTGTTTATTCTGGGCAGATCCCCTCTGCAAGAGGCTCTCACTGCCTTTACCTTGCTAACAGCAGCCCCAGACACCGAGGGGTGCCTGCACCGCAGGAGAGGGTTGGACCCCAATGATGTATCTCAGACCATGCTCCCAGAATCAGTGGCCTTGTGGGGAAATGCATGTGCCCTAAATGTTTTCCAGATGCCACTCTTACCTTGAGGGGATTGAAGCCATAATTACTAGCAGAGGAGGATAATTTATTGCTAAGGGGAATGAACTCCAGCTGTCCGCAGCGTGAACGCGCCTGTGTTCAGGAGAGCGTTTTTCCCTGCACCACATCTTATCAGCACTTCAGTTGCAGAGGAGCTGGCCTTGCCTTCCAAAGGGGAATCTCCATCCTTGCCAGGGCAGGGAGTGGCAGCCCAGAGCTGAGGGCTGGGCACCAGGATTGCCAGGACAGCAGCTCCTCCAGCACGGCTGGTGATGTGTGCTCCGTCTGTTTGCAGAAAATGCGACCAGTGACAAAACTGAAGGCAGGAAGAAAGGACGACCCAAGGCCGAGAATCAGGCACTGAAAGACATCCCTGTAAGACCCCTCCCCTCCCCAGTGCCCCTCCCTGCTTCGCTCCCTCTGACTTGCCCTGCACCGCATGCTCCAGCCAGCCCCACTCTGGGGTTAAACCTGCCTTCCCGGTGGTTTAATCTTCAGAGCAGCCTTGTCTTGGGCTGAGCAAGATCTTGTCCCCTCAACGCCTCCATGCAGGCATCCTCCGAAACACTGGTTAGGGAATGGTACTTCCCTCCAGCCTCACCTTCCCAGGGCCATGCCCAGATGAGCCACATCCTGTCACAACCGTGTCAGATTTGGCTAATGATCCAACAGCAATGGCAAAGGGGTGATTTATTCCCTGCAGGGTTGTGCAGTTTAATTCCTGCCCGTTAGCATGGACAACACACAGAGCAGTTTGTCATGAGAGCACGGGCATGGGGTGATTTACAGACTAGATGAAATGTGGGGTGATTAAATCACCCGGGCGACTTCAGGCCTGATTTATTCCCCAGCCTGGCAGGGAGTGTGTGTGTGCTCTGGGAGGCACAGCAAGGTAAATCCCTGGGAGGAATAATTAGCCTGTAGAGCCTGCAGCATCTATCCCAGCACCTCTCACTGGGAGCATCGCTGCACTGAAACACACCCCTGGGTCCACTTTGTGGCTGTGTTGTGGGAAGGGATTGGATGTGAGTGGTCAGAGGTCCCATGTGCCCTCCAGGCCCCCTTGGGGTACACTGGTACACAGCTGGGCACACGGTGCTCTGAACTCAGCTGTCTCTTGTCTCTCCTGTTCCCAGCTCCCCCTGATGAATCAGTGGAAGGATGAATTCAAAGCCCACTCCAGGGTGAAATGTCCCAATTCAGGCTGCTGGCTGGAGTTCCCCAGCATTTATGGCTTGAAGTACCACTATCAGCGCTGCCAAGGGGTAAGCAGACCAGAGAACTGCCTGTCCTTTCCAGTGGCCAGCTCTTCCATTACCATCTGCAGGCCAAAGCCACTCTCAGGCCTTAAAACCCAGGAGAAACGTGAGGTTAAAATGGGGAAATGGGGAGGGCAGAGATGGGCCAGGAGCAGTTCGTGAGGTATGTACAAGAAGGACTGGGGTCCCTGTGGCTCAGCGTGAGGTCTGGCCCAGGGGGACTGTTGACCCTTGATAACTGTTTGGAGGGGCAGAAGGGTATTACACAGGGTTTGTGTTCGTGTCCATGCCAGAAAAAGCCTGTCTCTTTTATGATCTAGCATCCGTGCTTACCTACCTCTCCCTGCTCTGCGCAGGGTGCGATCTCGGAGAAGCTGACCTACTCATGCTCGTACTGTGAAGCTGCCTTCACCTCCAAAACCCAGCTGGAAAAGCATCGGCTCTGGAATCACTTGGACCGGCCAGTGCCAACCAGCAAAGCAGAAAACAAAGTGCCCAAGGCCATTGGGAAGAGCAGTGGAAAGAAAAGGTGCCGGGCTGTGGCTGGGCTGCATGGCAGTGGCATAGGGATGGCTGGGAGAAGGGGAACGTGCCTGCCTCCATTCCTATGGCCTGGGCTGGAGAGGGGGGAGAGGTCTCAGGACACTTGTCTAACGACCCCTCTTTAAACAAGCCCTCTGTGCTTTGCCCTAGAGCTGCTGAGAGTTCAGCTTGCCCCACCATCCATCCCAAACAGCCAAAGACGGAAAAAGCTGTGGCCCAGGAGCACACGGAGAATGGCGAGTGCCTGGCGGAGAGCCGGGAGAGCAAGGAGTTCCAGATCGCAGCGGCCGAGGCGATGGCGGCCGCCACCCCCACGGCCAAGTCCTCGAGCGGGAAGGACGCCGGGCAGCAGCGGGGCAGCCAGGCCTCGCTGCAGGAGGAAGACCCCGAGAGGATGAAGCACAGTAAGATTAGAGCCCGGGGCTACGCTGGCTCAGGAGCCCAAAGAAGTGTCCCACAGGAAGGGGCTCTGCTCCTGCCAACACTGCTGCAAGTGCCTCTCTGAATCCAAGAGAGATCCAAGTCTTGATTTAACATCCTGATAGTTTCCCCTCACCTCAGCCCCAGTTTCCTGCAGTTTTACTGGGAGTTGAAACCTGGTTGTAGCTGTGGTAGAGATTATTCCTATAGGACCTGTGAGACTGGAAATGGATTGGATTCCTGGCCACGTAGCAAGCTGCCATGTCAGCCTGTCTATCTTCACTGAGTGTGGCAGGTTAAAGCAGGATGGTTCGGATAAACCCATTTTCCTTGAAGGATTGGAACAGCATGAGCAAGCTCATTCTGTCCGTGGCCACTGCAGAGCTGGCAGACAGGGCCATGGTTGTTCCCATCACGGCATGGGGTTCCAGTGCTTGCAGCACCAAAGCAAACCACCACAGCCACTGTGGCTGCTGAGGTGTGGAAACTGTGTGGCTTTCAGCACTAGACAGAGCCACCACTTCCACTCATTGAACTAACCCTAAATAACACATTTATCCTGGTTTTAGGGGGTGGGAAGCAGCAGCCTTTTGGCGTTTGGTGGGTGGGTGCTTCATCCTGATCCACTCCTGACACAGTGTGTGCTCACTCCATGCCCCAGAACTGATGAATCCCCCTGGCAGTACAGTTATTTGACCAAATCTCTCTCTCTGCTTCTCTCTTTTGAGTCAGGAAGGAAACAGAAAACTCCTAAGAAGTTTACGGGGGAGCAGCCGTCCATCTCGGGGACATTTGGACTGAAAGGTAATACAGGGACAACTCTGGTCAGCTGTAGGGTTGTACCTTCTCCCTGGGGCATTGCAGGGAAGCCCCTTCTCCAAGAACCCTCCCTGTGGTGGAGCCAGACGGAGCCTGAGGATATCACACTGGGAAAGCTGGTGCTTTCTACCATAAGAGTGTCATAAAGAGAGTGGAAGGCAGCAGCAGAGCTGGGACTGATAACAACCCTGTCTGCTCTGTTCTGGAGCCTGGCGCTAGGAAATGAGGCAAGAGAGAGGAAAGGATCCAGGAATGTTCAGCTGTAACACAAGAGTAACGAGCTGCTGACACAAGCGAGATATGAGAAACCGTTTCATCATCGTCCCACCATCCTGGGATGTCGCAGTGTTTCCAGTGGCATCGGGAAGGATTTCTGCTGTGTAGAAAGGCTGGTGACGCACCCACCCCTCAGACACCATCCCCACTGCTGGTCGCCCACATTGAAGGGAATGAATCCAAGAGAGAAGAGACGTGTGTTGCTGGGATGTCTTCTGAGAGGGAGCTCAGGAATTTGCTGCTGCAGCCTGACAAAGCAAGAGCTAGTGGGACTGTGGTCATACTCCATCGGGGCTGGGAAGGAGGGGGAAATCCTGGAGCATCCCTGGTACGAGAGCAACTGGATTTAGTCTGGCTATGAAATACGTTCAGTCGGGGAAATAAAAAGCGGATTTCCAGGCACTGTGGGAGGCAGCACCTTCCAGTACAAGGCACTCGGGGGAGAGGCACTAATGGCTTTGAAGGAATTAAACACCGACGAGCAGGCTGGATGTGGTCTCTGTGATTTCCTTTCCCCTGGCTCCTGGGAAGTCTGGGCTTGTTTCCCTTAACTTCCCCGCAGAGGCACTGCCATAGATTGAAACGTCTGCGGTAGGTTCCTGGAGAACAAGGTGCCTCCATGACCTGCTGCCTCAGGTGGAGAGCGAAGAAGGGGCATGTGTTCCCCTGTCCCCCTGTGTTAGATGTGACAGTCACTCCCCAAAGACAAGGGTGCCCCAGCCCATCATGGGGTGCTGTCTCCATTCAGACCCTGGGTTTTCAGGAGGATGTGGACCCTCGTGAGGCAAGTGTGGATCTGACCCTGGCACTCACCACATTGCCTCCAGCACCTTCTGTGGAAGCACAGGCACAGGGCTGCACTGCACATGGATTTGAGGGGGGTGGACCCCGGGGAGTTAAACAGCTTTTCCAGTGCAGAAGCATCAGCAGGAACATCACTTTTATATCCTGAATTTGCTGTTCTGGTTCCCCCCTTCAGTTTCTTGCAAAACACCCTATTCCCTCCTCCCTGGCCTGTCTGCCCGGCTAGAGGCCTCCTACCTCACTTTGCCATGGTGTTTCCATAATTCATAAACTGACTGGGTTGGGGGAAATGATGCTATTTATAAAACACCACGATCTGTGAGGATATTGCTTGTCATAATCATGGACCTGACCGTGCAGCCTTGGCAGACCTACAGCCAGCTCAGTGTCCCTGGGTTAGAGGTAGAGATTTTTTACCTGCTAAATGCAAGTTGCTCTGAAGGTATTAAAGCAAGTACTGAAGAAGCATCCTCTTTCTCTACAGGTCTTGTCAAAGCAGAGGACAAGGCAAAAGCCCATCGAGCCAAGAAGTTGGAGGGAAACACCAGTATGGAGGAGCTGAAAAAGAAATCTCCAGGAGTTGCTGTGAAGAAGGAAACTGCTGTGCACCTACCAGCAGGTGAGGCTGAAGGGTGCAAAGCACAGGCAGCAGCTTTGTGTGCAGCTTAGCTGCTTTCACGTGCTCTGCTCAGTCCCCACCTACACCTGCAGCTCATGGTCCCTGCACCCCTCCTGGCCCAGCGGGTTGTTTGCTAGGCCAGTTTTCTAGCAGGTTTGCCAGGAGAAGCAGCACAAAATCAGAAGTAGGAGCACACTTTTGAAGCGCAGCACAGATGTGGGAACGGCCACTGCTCCTAAAACATTAATGCAGGCACAGTTTATATCCTGAGGGGCACCTTACCTTCGCTTCGCTGCCAGGTCAGCGCGATGGAAGTGCTGGGAGTTGAGGGCCAAGTTCCAGCTGGTTGCAGTGTGACCACAGTTTGGGTCAGCATGTGGGATGATGGCATTTTTCTAACATCATCCCCATGAATGACACCAGTGCATAACTCTAGGAATGATTGCTCCTTCTCCGAGATGCAGCCTACATCCCAGGCACAGGTTGCTTGCTTTCCCTGGGAGCTCTGACAGCAGGAGGAACGCAGGATGTGCAAGATAAACACAGCTGCAGTGCCTTACACTGCTTTCAAATTCAAATAAACGACTCTCTGATCTCACAGCCGTGCAAGAGCATCCAAATAAACAGACTTGGTGGATTTTATTCAGCCCAGGCTTCCCTTGCTGGAAGCCCAGCGCTGTTCTGCTGAGAACGCGACGTGAACTCTGGACCTGGGAGCAGGTTTTGGCCTCATGAATCTCTTATTTTAAGCTTTTTTTAAGCTGGCCATAGTCATTCAAATAAACATATGCCTGGAAGCCAGCAGTCCCCTAGCTACCTCCATGTCTGCCGGGAAGAGGATTGCCAGGGAAGTTTTCCAGGCACACGTCCGGATGGAGCGGAGACGCTCACCTTTGTTTCGCTCCCGCTAATTGTTTCATTTGGCAGGGGGAAGTTATTGCAAGCAGGGCAAGATCAGGTGGCCGGGGGCATTATCCTTTTTTAACTCCCAGTGTGCAGGATACCAGCAGGGTTGGAAAGGTGAACCTCTTTTTCCCAGGTCAGCAGGTCTGGTAACTCCATGTGAAGTCACCCAGTGACCCAGTTTGCTCAGGCAGCTGCAGGAGTGTGGGGCAGGGAGAGCTTTTCAGCTTACCAAATCAAGGCTTAGACAGGGCAGTCCTCTGCCCAGCCAGCGTTACACCTCTCTCCTCTCCCTTTCCAGCAAACCCGGAGGACCAGTGGCAGCGGGAGATCAGCGAGAAGGGGGAAGTCTCCTGTCCAACCTGCAGTGTTATAACCAGGAAAACTATTGTGGGGCTCAAAAAGCACATGGATGTCTGCCAGAAAGTAAGGCCTTGCTTTATTCAAACACATGGATTTTGGAGAGGAACCGATGTGTACATGTGCCATTCATAAATCTGCATTGCTGCTCCTAAAACCAGTTCAGGGCTGTGTTTGATAGAACACTTGCTGGTCAAGTTCAGATTGCTGGCTCCCTTGCATCAATTCAGAGGGATTTGGGCACTGATTCTCAGCAATCCTGAATCCTTCTGTGGTCTGGGCCCCTGGCCCCAGTGTCTCTAGCAGAGTTAGGTATTTCTAGTAGCTAAACAAATAGTTTTAAGGCTGGAGGGATTGTTGGGATTGTCTCTAATCTGGCCTCCTCCAGAGCTCTGGCTGTGGGGTTTCACTGTGTGCTGTGCAGGCCAGATAAATTGTGGTTGCATGAGAGCACGTCTTGGGGAGACTCCGAGCCTGGATGTGCTCAGGCAGGCTGTCAGGATGCAGGAGTTCAGTAATGATACAGTGAAAAATTGTCTCTCTGCCACACCACCATCCATCAGAGCGCAGGATTACGTCTTCATCCGTCACCTGGTGCGGTGCAGAGCCGTCGCCACAGAAAGCCAACGTGGGATCGATGCCTCCTGCTTTGAAAATATGTGGCTGGGCTTTGATTCCACATTCATTTTCTGTAAATGCTTCCCCAGCCTTTGCTTCACTATTTATATAGCAGTGGGAGGCTGCTCTCCCTTTCAAACCCTGCACTAGATTGATGCTGGGCAGAATCCTGCCTGTTCTGATATGCTCCTGGCCTCAGCAGAGTGGGGATCTTGACTGTTGCTGGTCACACCTGCCCTGTGGAGCATCTCCCAAGCCAAGTTGGCTCCACGTGGGATGCATGGCTGGATGACCTGCCGAGCATGGCTCTGCTGGAGCAGTCAGTGGTGTCTTCCCTGCAAATAGACTGGCGGGTGTTCAGCCAAGGAATCAGGGCTCCAGCCCTTGGAGGGAGTGTTCTGTCACCCTCCTGGGAGGGACAGTCCTTGCCGGGGCTGGCTGTGCTGCTCAGGCAGCTGGGATGCTCTCAGAATCCCAGCCCAGGCAGGACAGTCCCCAAGCTTCAGGTGTGTAACCACAGGTCCAGCTTGAAGCATTCCATCCCTGAAATGAACCTGTGGCATGTCCTTAGTGAGGCCACGCTGCTACAGGCACATGTGATCCCCATCAGAAGCCACCCTGGAGTGCAGGCATCCTCTGGGCTTGCTCTCTGCTTTAATGACTGGTAATGGGGAAAGGATGTGCAGGATCCCAAACCTCTTATAAAAAATGAAAATTGGTTTATCCGTTTGTTGCTTGTCACCAAGCAGTGTCCACCTGTTTCCTTTGGTTTTGGAAAGGAAATAAAGGATGGGGAGGGTTGCAACATGCTTGGGCCTGAAAGAGACAAGGGCAGGTATATTCTCCTGGTGTCCTAGGTGGGAGGGCTTGTTGGAATGTGGACATGGCATGTGCTAAATTGTTGACCAGAAGAGTAAACCCCAAATTGACTGTCATTGGCATCTGATGGGTCAAGGAGCTGTTAGTGTCCACCTTGTTAGGATCAAGTGCTTGGGTCTGGAACAAGATTGACTGCTGGGAGCACAGGTACCAGTGAGTCACTCCCAGCTGGCTGCAGTGAGTTTATTCTTCATTTCCCCAGAGCTCCAGGATTAGGAGGGATTTGCAGCTCTATCTTCATTCTCTCTTCAGCTTTCAGTCCAGGCTTGTTTGAAGGGGAAGTGGTGAAGGTGAAGCACCAGGCGGGAGAAGCAGGAATGCCATCCAGACACTGGCTCCTTGTCATTCGCCTCCTCAGTCAGTAAATTCTGGTCCCTGCCCCAGCAAAAGTCAAGGTCTGTTCATGCAGTCTGCAAGTGCCCCTTGTAGCTCAGGGTGTGCAGATAATGCATCTCCCCAGGCACTCAAGAGGCCGAGTTGGGTCAAACAGCACAGCAGTATGAGGTAGGAAGGATTCTGCTCAGATTATGTCCATCATTTCATGCAGCCCAGGCACCCAGAAAGTGCACTGCACACCAGCATCTGTCTTAGTTAACAGGGCTGCAGAGCACAGTCCGCTGACATATTGGTAGATCAAAGCTTCTTCTCTTTCCTAACCCTTTAACAGGAAGACCAAGACACCAGGTCCAGATGTTTCCAGCCAGTGAGGCTTTAAATCTACATCCAAAGTGGAATGTTTTCCAAAAATTGGGGCATATGGGTTTGATAACAATATGCAGGACAACAGAGAGAAAGCTTGGACCTGCAGGAAGGGATGGGGAGGCTGCGTTGGCTGCTGGGTCCCACCACTGGGTACTGCTGCAGCAACAGCCACCCACAGGGTTATTCACAGGCAGCAGCAGCCCTTGGGAGGATGAAGGGTGGGCTGTGGCCTCCCTGGTGACATGTCTTTAATTCCTTCAGCTGCAGGATGCCTTGAAGTGTCAGCACTGCAAAAAGCAGTTCAAGTCTAAAGCTGGGCTGAATTACCACACCATGGCTGAACACGTCAGCAAGGTAGGGGAGGTGGGCTGTGCTTGTCTCGTGCCTTGTTTCTCCATGCAGATGCAGAAGATGAAGCCATTGGCAGTCCTATTTCCATGATCTTTGTAAAGGAGGCATCACAGCACCGTCTTTACAGCATTTCACATACTGCTCAGCCCAGACAGTGGCCTTCCCCCTTCCCTGCCAAGCAAAGCTTTCCCTTCCCCGGTAGTGAGTTAGGCTCATGTTGATTTTGATAAGTAGAGCAGAAGACTGAAAAAATAAAACAGGATTTCGGATCCCAGCATGGGGGAAGATTTGGTGAGTACGGTGAGGTGGATTTTGAGTGGCAAAGCTCTGCCTCCAAAGGCGTGCCCACAAATCTGGGACGGATGGGTTCTGCCTTGCACGAATCTCAAAATCTGGTCTTTAGCTCTCCACCATGCATGGGAGAAGCAGCCACAAAATTTATCATTAATAAAATTTTGCAGGCATCAGTTTAGATGCTGTTCTAAAAATCTGGTCGTGTGCATCTCCGGGATACCAGGGCAAGGCATAACCACATATTTACATGTCCCATGCTTACCAGTTGTGACTTGTCTTTTACCTGTGCCTTAATCTCCTGCTCTTCAGTTTGGCTGGTGAATCCTCCATGCAGGAACTGCTCCTGGGTTTCTCAGCTGACCCTTTGGGTGTAAACACAGGAAAAGCAGGAGCAGATCCACCACATAACAGCAAAGCAGTGGAAGATCCAGCTCTCCTCAGGAGAGGTTCCCTCCGGCCCAGGGCAGCTCCTGAGAGGCAGGGGTTTACCACCCACTCCTGGCACAGAGGACATGAATAAATGGTTGACTCTGTTGCTTCTGTTACTTCCTTGTTTCCAGCCTGTTCCTGTGGAAACCGCTGGACTTGGTGAACAGGAAGAGCGGGAAAGGCTGAGGAAAGTGCTAAAGCAGATGGGAAAACTGAAATGCCCCAATGAGGTACGAGAAAGATTCCTGTTTCTCGTTCTATGAGAAGGTGGAAGGAGTGAGTCCTGTGCAGAGGGGGACGTGGCATTCTCCAGAGGGACATGCACTCTCCAGGCATCCCTTGGCACGCACTCGACACGCGCTTGACATTTCCCCCTTAGCTCAGCCATGCCAGTCCCCATCCCCCTGGCTCTGTGTGCTCTGGCGACAGGCCAGCCTGGCAGGAGGGTGGGCACAGGGCAGGCTGAGGAGCACTGGAGAGCAGGCTCTGCCTCCTGAAGTCAGGAAGGGGCACAGCCGGCACTGTCCCGGGCACAGCATAAAACCAAAGCAAACCACACCAAAACAGTGCCGAGCTGGTTGCAGACAAGTCACGAGCAGGTAAGGGGGGGTGTGTGGCAGAGGTTTGTCCCGTGGATGCTTTACTCTCCATGCAGGTAGTGCCTCCTCAATGCCTTCCCCTCCCGCTGCCCACCATGTGTCTGTCTGGAGAGCTCTGTCCATGTGGTGGGGGCAGGGAGTGCCAGGGGCAGAGGCTGCTTCCCCCGTCCCTCCAGGGCACTGTTATGTGTCTTTGGGGATTGTCAAATCCCCCATCACTCGGATGGGATGGGTTGGTGAATCCACTCTGCGGAGTGGGCTCCTCAGGAATATTCCTTCCTGGAGCAACAGCATCCCAACCTTTCGGAAATGGGCACATGAAGCCCCAGCCCTCCTTAAGCTTTCCCTTCTCCCCATCTCCATAGGGCTGCGTGGCCAACTTCTCCAGCCTGATGGGTTACCAGTACCACCAGAAGCGGTGTGGGAAGCAGCTCACTGAGGCCGACAAGCCTGTTTTCAGCTGTCCACACTGCAGCAAGAAGTACAAATCCAAGGCTGGCCACGACTACCATGTGCGGTCAGAACACACGGCCTCGGTGAGCCCCCCGGATGCTTCCGCAGCCCGAGGAGCCGGGCCACCTCCCCCTGGGGGGGACTGCAGAGCTGCTGTGGAGCCCGTGGGCAGGACAGAGCCGGGCAGGGCCGGGCCAGGCAAGGCAGGTGCAGACGTCGGGCTGATGTTGTTTTGTCCCTCACATCACCACACACGTGTTGTACCCTGCGATGTTGGGGGGAACAGGCTGGAGGCCCCTCTGCCCCTCCAAAAAGGCAGGATGCTGTGTTTACAGGAGCAGAGCAATCGTCAGTGTTCTCTTTCCCCAGTGCCCACTGGGCTGTGCTCCAGCCCACCCTGCATCCGTGCTCTGCAGGGGAAAAAAACAGAGCTCAGGCCACTCCCTCACAAGCACCAGCTGCTTGCCAGCGCTGGGGTGGCAGGATCTGTCCCTGGGGAGCATCCCTTTCTGTTCTGTTGATCCCTCCTGACAGTGCATCCAACGCTAATCACTTCCTAACTCTAATAACTGGAGACATTTACACACGCGGGACACAGTGGGTCTGTCTCCTGGCTGGCTGCTGGGCTGAGGGGGTGGGTGCTCCCTTCATTCCAGTGCTCTGGCACAGAGCCACAAAGCAGGTCTGGAAACACACAGCCCAAATCCCAGCATCCCCATCCTGGGGCCGGAGAGCTCGCCTGTTCTCTTGTCATGCCCTTCCTGACTCTGTCTCTCTTGCAGCCTCCGGAGGAGCCAGAGGTGAAGCAGGAGCCTGCTCCCATAGAAGATTTCGAGAGGACCCCGAGCGGCCGCATCCGTCGGACGTCGGCCCAGGTAGCCGTCTTTCACCTCCAGGAGATAGCAGAGGATGAGCTCGCCAGGGATTGGACCAAGCGGAGGATGAAAGATGACCTGGTGCCTGAAACGAAGCGGGTGAGCAGCCTTTAGTTCTCCTTTTGTTTGTACACAGAGATCCCAGGATGCTAGCCTGGCCCCAGCTGCACATGGAGATCCTGGGATGATTGCCTGGCCCCAGCTGTACACAGAGATCCCAGGATGATTGCCTGGCCCCAGATGGCTGAGGGCTCACGTGTCTCCCTTGCTGTGTCTTAAATTAATTAGCTGTGATGGCAGATTTATTGCTGAAGAGCCCACCCAGCGCAGGCTGAGCCCCTGTGGTCTGGAGGCTCCCAGCTGCAGACAGCTTTGTCCTTTCCCACTGGGTGGAATGGAGCAAAGGGTGGTGCTTTGGGGAGAAATCAGAGTCCAGCCCAGAGGATGTTGTTTGTGGAGCAGGGTCAGTTCTGGTCCGTGCTGGCAGCCAAGAGGAGCATGCGAAGAGAGCAGAGATCGAACCTGAAATGCTCTTGCACTGTCAGAGAGCAAAGATGCTCCAGGCAGAATTCCCTCCCTTCATGTCTCTTCCTTAACTTCTGGGAGATGCTTTTCTGGAGGTAAAGGGCCTGCAGCATCCCAGAGCAGTGCTGCTGTGAGCAGAGGAAGGTGGAGAGTGGAGGCAGGGCTGAGCTGAGCTCCAGCAGCGATGCACTCGTGGCCCGATGCTGTGGGGTCTACATGGGGCTCCAGGAGGTTTGAGCTTTGTGTAGGCATTGGTTAAACCAAACCTCCCTCGTGGCTATAGGAAGAAGTGATTATTCCTGGGAGCATCCCAAAGCTGAAATTCCCTCCAGGTGCACTCCTTCTGGACTGTAAAAGGAATGAAACAGCAGCAAATCGTAAGCCTTTTCAGTGTAAGAGAGGAAAAAAGAGAGGGAACCGGAGTATTTTCGTCTGCCAGAACTCAATGCAGAGCCATCCCGCAAGTCTCTGTTTGAGCTGCAGCCTGTTTCCTGAGCAGGCAACTCTGCAGTTGGGTGCCAGGTCTATTCCTTGCTCTGAACAGTTGGGTATCTCTTGTCCAGAGCTCCAAAATTCGTGCTGGGCAGAATATTGGGCCCATTGCAAAGATGGGAGTGAGGATCAGAGGGCATCAGGAGAACGTAGTCCTGCAGAGACCCAGAGGAGCTCAGCCTGGCTCAGATCCCAGTCTGCACGTGGCAGGCAGCTGGAAAACCAGCACAGAAACAAACCAGCAGCTTCTTTACCCACCTTGGCATCCTGGTGAGGCACTGGCACAGAAGGGGATCCAGCCACAATGCTGCCACAGAGCAGAGCTGGGGGTTCGAGGGCCAGAACTGGTTGCAAAGTTTTTATTTCCCCACTGCTTGGTGTTGCCATTGTTGGTTTCCAGATGACTTCAGCTGCAATGCATTTGTAACATAAAAAAATCAAGCCCAAAGTAGCTGTTTCATTTCAAATACTGCATGAGGAGAGGTGTGCTGCTCTCTTCTCCCCCCTCCAGCCTCAGCTCTTTTGTTCCTCTCTTTCCTTTTGGAATTGCTTCCCTTACTCATGACTTTGGATATTTTCTGTTTGAATTGAAGGAGCAGGCAGGACCCCAGGCCTGGACAAGGGACACATGTTCAGGCTGACATACAAAGGCATCGTAAAGGTCTCAGCACTGCTGTAATTGCTCCATGAAATGCTGGTGGGGTTTTTTTATGAGACATCTCTTGTGTTCAGAGTCTAATTGTTTGAGTTTAACTGAGCCCCATCTTGGTGCTAAAAAGCAAGGAATTGCTGTGAGGTTGGCAGAAGCAGTTTTGCATTGAGGATGGGCAAGGGGGGAATTGGATCAGCTCCCAGGTGACAAAACAAGGATCGGGACCTCAGGCCCTGCATGAAATCCTCCGTGGATTTTGGAGGAAATCAGTGCAGTGGGTGAATACATACGTAGCTGTGTGTGTGCCTGTGGGTACATCTTGCAGTGGCTGTCACGTTCCCTTGACAACACTCCATAATCTGCTCAGTCTATGACATTTTTTCTCGACGAGCAGTGCTGGAAGGAGGTGGGAGGCAGGTTCTGCCTGGGGAGGATGGTGGGAACTTGCTGACTTCAGCACACTCTGTGTTGCTCTGCTGAGCCGTCTCGCATTGCTCAGGACCCCTCTGGGTTTACAAGTTGCTTCAGTTCAGGGCGTGGAGAAAACCTCCCAGCTGTGAGCGCTTCAAACATGCCACCAAGTGCCCAGTCTGACCCTGTTACAGCCCCGAACAGCCCTTCCCTCAGAAGTGCCTTCAGCTGTGCTGGCAGGACAGCCCTGTGCCATGTGGGAGGCTTAGAGCAGCAGGCAGTGTCCCCATGTCCCCATGCCACGCCCCACCGAGCGTGTGTGGTGTCTGTCCCCAAGGGAGCTGACAGCCCACAGCCACCGGAGCAGCAGGAAGAAAAACACCAGTTCACCGTGACCAGCGTGGCAGGACTGATGGGAAATGGTGGAATTCCCAGAAGAGCCGCCACATCACCACCTCTTCTTCCCTCTGAGCCTTACCCAGCCATTGGGAGTATGCTGCTGTGTCTGCAGCCCCCCTCAGTGGACCTGGAGAGAGGTGGAAAGTCAGGGATTGGCAGCAGATTTCAGCTGCTCCTGCCTCTTGTCAGCAAGCCCTGGGGATTTCCGGGATTCCTGAGGGACGGATGAGTCCCAGCTCTGATCTGTAACCAGTGGTAGATGGATACACCCAAACGATGCAGCTCCATCCCTGAACTCTTTGAGTTCCACACCAGCGGTCCCAGCAGTCAACATGGGTTCCAAGGAAGCTGATGAAGAAAACCACCCCTCCTCTCCATCCCTTCTCCAGGCAGCAAAACTTTTTCCCAGGGGAAGGCACAGCTCCTCAGCAAGCCGATGGGATACAGAGGTTTGCAGCCTTCAGCAGGCACAGCCCCACTGCAGCCCCTGTGCTGTGGCCACGTGGCAGCTGGTCCCAGCCGGGGAGAGGGACGCTGGGTCTGGATCCCGTTGGTGGCCCATGGTGGGACGCGTTCGCCTTTCCCCGGGAGAATGGATTCCTTCACACCAAAGCAATGGCATTAGAATAAACGATTGCTGCTCGATCCCAGGCCCTGCGCTGCCTTCGGTCTGCGCTAACCAAATCCAGCATTTCTAAATATACACTGGAGTCTTATTTTCTCGCTCCGATCTTTATTTGCCTCCGGATAAGCTGAAACAGATGGGGTGTTTCACAACAGCCGCTTGCTGGGCTTGTCAGATGGGGAAGGGCACACCCCTGCTGCTTTTCTGGGAAAAATCCCCTCTGCAGAATCTCCGTGAAGATGCTGCCGACCCTCTGACCTTCCTCTGGCCTTTGCTGCCTGTGGGCAGCCTTGGGGCTGCCACAGAAGGAGTGAGAGGCTGCAGGGAACACCCAGCTTGGTGGCATAGGCAGGCAACGGTGGGCTCTGGGGATCTAGTGGGGGATGAGAAACAACCTCCTCGAGCAGAGGAAAGAGGCATCTGAGGGGCAAGAGGGGAGAAAATGCCACGGAAATCCCACTGTTTCATGGTGTGATGCCTTCCTGATGGTGTTGCTTGCTTCGAGGTGCTGGAGATGGTGTTGGGCTCCTGCAGCCCAGGCAGCCACGATCCTGCACAGGGAGGGATGCAGAGCTCCTCTGTGGGATGCAAGAACACCCCATTCACCTCCCCAGGGCTCAGGATGTAGTGCTGTTACAGGGCTGAGGGCAGCCGTGGATGCTGCACATCCCCATGGAGCCTGGATGCTGTGGGGTGCCAGGGGTTCAGAGCAAAGGACTGCTGTGGGCCAGTCATAAAGCTAAAGGGGAAAAGTCATCTCCAGGCTTGAGGTTTTATACTGGAACCAGGATAAATTCCGGAGCAGAAGAGGCTGGCTTGGGTTTATCCCCCAAAACAATGGCCCTGCGATCTGGGCGAGAGCCAGGCTGAGCCCTGCAGACTCGTGTCACTGGTGGGCCAAACCGGATCCCAGCTCCAGCTGCGGGGCCGAGTCCGCCCTTCCTCCCCTTGCTTGGCAGCGCTGCCGTGGTGTGACCCTCCTGTGGGACCTGGCTGCCATCCAACACCCTTGGGTGCATTTTGGCTTCACCTCCAAGACAGCATCACCCACAGCTTCCATGGGGCCCTGGGAGAGCCATGCCTCGTGCTGGGGACCTGGGTGAGGCTTCCAGGGACGCTCCTTGGCTGAGACATCCCACATGGTTCTCATTTACTGCGATATATTTTGGGGAAGGGGAGAGCTGTCTAAGGAGCAGAGAGGATTGAAATATGAAAGTTAATTAAATAAAACCGTCAGTCAAAGAAAACAAACCTTCCCAGCCCAGCATCCTTCGACTGTTCAGAAGAGATGGGCTGCAGCCAAAACCAGTTGTAGTCGTTTAATGATTTGGCCATGAAGATTTTCACTTACAGGCTGTTTGAGGAAAATAAATGGAAAAGAAAAAAAAATATAAAATATTCCATGCCTGGGGCTCCCTCTTAATAGAGACATAAAGATGACTTTGACATTCCCAGAACCGCAGCGCCCCGGGAAGACATGGGATTTGCATGTTATTGTGCAGGGCTGTTGGAGGAGAGCGGGGAGGGATTTTTCTCTGGAGTGGGAAAGCAGAGCAGCAGAGTCCACATCTCTGAACATCCCCCCTCGCCTCCTCCCCGGGGACGTGCGGAGGGAGAGGTTGTTGCTGGGGCTGTGTGCGGTTACCATTAATGTTTGCTCATTCATGGGATTGATTGGGTTTTAATTATGGAGGCCGTTTGGCGTCCCGGCTCTCAGTATCAATGGCTGAAAGGGACTCCTGTGTTCTCCCCTGGAGGTGACATTGCCTCCCCCGGGTGGGGGACCAAGCGCTTGGTAGATGCACCATCCCAGAGCTTCAAAGAGCTCTGTTGGCATCTCCCCCAGCCGCGAAGCACGACAGAATAGCAGCACGCTGGGGCTCGGGGGAGTTTTCCACATCCACATCCGTCTGTACCAGCGTTCACGGCGCCGTTTCGCAAGGCCCTGTGCCCCTGCCCCTCTCATGGAGCCCAGCACTCCACGGGCTCCCTGCTCTGGCCGTGCCCTGCCACGTGCCAAGGGGAAGGCAGCAGGGGCACATAGATCACTCCAATTTGAGTGGAAATGAGCGGTTGGCATCTGAGCCCTCCACATCCCGAGCTTCCCTTTGCAGGGAGGTTTGGGAACAGCTGGGGGGAGCTGGACAAAGGCAGATTTGCAACTTTATCAGCATGTTCAGGAAAAGTCACAGCTGGAAAAGAAATCCAGCCAGCTTCCCGCTGCCTCTGAACCACCAGCCCCGGGTCCTCAGGGAACATTTTAAAAACAGCTCCTGGGTTTGCACCTCTGCGAGCACTGTTTGGCTCTGCGTCCTCTCCATCCGGGGATGCAGCCATGGCCCATGCTCAGAGGTGCCCATGGAGAGTGGCACGTGCTCAGGTACCTACACCTGCACCGTGTCATCTGCGGGCTCACCCAGCACTCTCCCACTCAGGGCAAGTTTGGGGCTTGAGACCCAAACAACATCCATCGGCTCTGGCAGAGCTCACCAGGGTGGGCTGGGAGTCGTGCTGGCATGGCTGTGCAGGCTGGTGTCCCCTGCAGACCTTGGCACGGTGGCACAGTGTCAGGCAGGGACCAACCCCACAGGTAGGGCCAGGCACAGCGGCCAGGAGGCCCAGAGATGCCCAGAGCTGCAGCCTTGACTTGTGCTGAACATGCAGAACTGGGGTTGGGAAGGCCGGCCCACTATGCTAACCCTCAAAGTCGTTAACAAAGCAGTAATTAAAAGCACTTGGAAGGAGCAGCCCTGCCAGAAGGAGAGGCAGAGGCACAAGAGCCTTTCATTGTTTGACGAGTTGTGCCCATTCATCCATGGAAGGCAGCCATGGAGGCTCCTGGCATCATCCCCTCTGCCCAGTGTGCAGGGTTGTTTATTCTCCTGGTTATGAAACACGGCAGAAGGGCTGTGCCGACACTGTGCACCGAAAACGCCAGGTCTGGGCCTGGCCCTGGTGCCGGGCATGGACCTGAGAGCAGGAACAGGAGCCTCCCCTCTCCTCTTTGCTAGGGACTCCTCACTGGTGGCACAGCAGAGGGCAGAGCCACCCCCATGGTCTGCAGTGCCTGGGGAGGGGAATGGCATCTCCAGGGGAAGCCTCACAAGTAGTTTTCAGCTCCGATTCGCTTCGGGTGGGGACAAGACCCGTGTGAAGAGGCAGGATTCCACCACAGACCAGGCTGGGGTGTGCAGCTCTGCTAATCCTCTGCTATTGTTCACAGCTCAATTACACCCGACCAGGGCTTCCAAAGCTCAATCCCAGGCTGCTGGAAAACTGGAAGAACGAAGTGAAGGAGAAGGGCCGCATCAACTGTCCCAACAATGTAAGGACTGTCTCTGTTCTGCCACAGGCCGGCTGGTCTCAGTCTGCAGGAGGAAGGGGGAGTTTCAGGGGCAGAAACCCACCAAAGCAGGTTCTCATTGGGCCTCAGATGACAGTGATGTTCAGACACTCATTTCACCTCCTTTCCCTGGGCTTGCTGCCGTGCCTCGTTAAAGCGTGTCCCACCTTTGGGATCCTCCTGGTGTGCTCACCCTTGGGGACTGGGCCACTCTTGAGCTGATGGTTCAGCATTGCCCAGTTCAGGCTCTGGAGCTGCCTTTGGAAAGCAAGGCTCCAGACGGAGCAAAGGCTGTGCATCCTGTGCTCAGGAGTCTTTTAATGCAGAGAACCTGCTTTTCCCAGAGTTAAGCTGGGCTGGATTTAAGCCAAGCTTTTTAAAGCCTTGCGACAGGCAGCAACCTCAGGGCATGGTGCAGGCACTTCATCTCTCTGTGAAACACAGTCTTGGCCTGAGCTGGCAGGGAGGTGAACCCCACCCTGGTGCTGGGCCTGAATTTATCATCCCAAACAAAGCCTTGTTAATGGGAGTTCTGAAGGAGGCTGTTCCCACAAGGCCGGGGGAACCGGGCTGGCTAATTAATGTCATACACAGGCACTTGAAAAAGACGTTGCTCAGAAACTGGTCATGCTGCTGCCCGGGTGATTTGTCCTCTCCGTTAAGCCTCTGCTGTGGCTCCAAGAACTCCTGTAGCCCAGCAGGACCTCCTGACAGCTCACAAATGTACCGTTTTCCACGGAGACATTTAGGGGAGACGTTTTTCAGCCTGTTGCAGAGGGATGTGGCCACATGACTCCCATTAGCACTAATAGGAAACGTGTGACCAGAGCCCTCGGCGCCTCGCAGAGCATTAACCTCACACTGCTCAGCCTGGACCGGTGGCTGTGCTGGCTCAGCAGGCTCCTGGCCCTGGCTCAGAGGAAGGCAGATGAGGGGGATCGTGTCTAACCCTGCTTTGTTTCTTCCTGCAGTTCTGTGAAGCCATTTACTCCAGCGTCTCGGGGCTGAAAGCTCACCTGGCCAACTGCAACAAGGTAGGCACCTCCTTTTACACCCTTGTCTCAGAGGTGTCTTTGGGGTTTGGTTTTCTCTTCCCCCCCAGCTGCTTTGGAAGGGGCAGGCCAAGGGACAATGCACAGGTTAAAGGATGGTGGCCACTGGCAGGGCTGGCCAGGCAGTGCTGCTCGCAGTGAGTTGTCAGCAGGCAGATGGAGGCAGAGAGGCTGGAGCAGAGCAGATGGGATGGAGGGGATGTAGCTGCCATCCCAACTGTGAAGCAGAGGTGCCATAACACAAACATCTCCCTCAAGAGCCCAGACCTCTAACACATGGAGTGTCTCAGGGACACAGCAGTGGGACCAAGCCATCCTGCCTCGTGTCCCCCCATCCCTCAGTAGCCCTTGCCCAGCTGGTTCCTGCAGCCCCCAAATCATTCATGAGCCCTTGGCTACCCAACACTGCTGTTGCAGTGCCTCCTGGGATGAGCTGAGGCTGGAAGAGGTGGCCGGTCCATGCAGAGACCAGTGCCCTCCTGCCTGAGGGAGCAGCCCTGAGCTCCAGTGGCCTGCAGCTGCCACAGAGGAGGGATTGGGAGCTCAGCGTAGGTCCCTGAAATTGGAACCAAGTAAGAGCTGCTAAAGCTTTATACCCCGAAACATTTCCAGCTGCAGCTTCCATTGAATGGAGCTTCCAGGAGGCAGCTCCAATCCATATCCCATGGTTATTAAAAACACCAACTCCTGCTCTCCTCCAGCGCTAGCTGGAACAGCAGCCCTTAATGAGATCATTTAGAAAATGGGCTGCAGAGATCCAGCAGGAGAAGCTGGATTTATGCAGGATAAAAGAGCAAACACGGGAGACTGGGGCAGCTCCTTTGCTGTCCAAGAGAAAATGGAGCTGGTTTCTGGCTGGTTCCATGCACAGGAAGCAGCCAGGATCTGCATGAGCATTTCCATGAACTACAGAGCTACACACTCGGTATCTGGCACAGCTGGGGCTGGGTGCTGGGGGTCAGCACTGGGGGAATTGCTGCTCTGTGGCCCCCACACCGCCATCAGTTGGATTCTTCCCCTTACTGAGGATTTAGTTTGGATACTGTGCCACCAAATTGGGCATAAATAAATCACAACCCCTCCAGAGCTGGCCTGTGATTCCTACTGTAAAATCCTGCAGAACTGGTTGCAATATGTCAAGCCTTAGTGAGAATGGAGGCTGCTCCCAGGCAGCACCTCATCCTCAGTGGGGATTGATGCACCAAGATGATTTTGCATGAGTATTCCTGAAGCCAGTCTGTAGTGGGGCCAGCCCTGCCCTCTCCTGAAATGAGAGACCCATCTAACTCCAGATTTACGGCTACAGAGAAATTCCCAGGGAGGAAATATATTGCCTGGAGGGGCCCATCCATAACCCCCTCGTCAAGAGAGAGCACATTATCTCCCGCATGCCGTGACCTGCAGCAGAGCCGGGAGATCCGTCATCCCACCAGGGCTCTGTTGACAGGAATCCAGCAGTCACTGTGGCTCTTTGACAGCGTAAAAGGAAAATTAGGTGAGTGTTGGACATAAATCTGATGGTGGTTCAGTCCCGGGAGATCACAGATCTATTGACAGTGAGGACACAGGGCAGTGGCCCCATCTGCCCCAGGACACACCTGATGTCGTTGGTGTTGCTGGGGACACACAGGCTGAGCACGGGCTGAAGATCAGAGAGAAGATGTGGCTGTGAGCTCCTGGCCTGGCACCGAGGCCAGCAGAGATCTGGTGCTTTAGACACAAGTGTTTATTTTGTGTCACTTTGAGGTCACAGAGGACTCAGGGCCGGGCTGGGGCCGGTGGGGCCACCCCTCTGGGCCACTTTGGCTCTGCAGGAGGCTGCTCTGTCTTACAGGGAGACCACTTGGTGGGCAAGTACCGCTGCCTCCTGTGCCAGAAGGAGTTCAGCTCCGAGAGCGGCGTCAAGTACCACATCATCAAGGCTCACTCAGAGGTAAGGAAGCAGCTGGAGCTGGGCTGGGCTGGTCCCTGCTCCGACGTGCCCATTCTTGGGCTGTCCCTCTCCATCTATCCATCCATCCATCCATCCATCCATCCATCCATCCATCCATCCATCCATGTCTGCCAAGAGCAGAGCTCAGCAGCAGCTCCCAGCAGCATCAGTGATGCTGTGACAACCTGGGGGGGGTCCTTCCTATCCCCCTTGGTGTCCCCAAAACCCCCAGGCTGAGCACTTTGTCCTGGGGAGGTGATGCCAGCGGGGTGTGGGGCGGCCCCAGCTCGGGTTGTGTGTGCTGGTGCCAGTACCTGACCCCTGGACAGTCACTAACCCCCGTGTCACCCCACGGACACAGAACTGGTTCCGAACCTCCTCAGAGGCCAGCCGGAAAAAGAAAAACAGGGAACAGCTTTCTTCCAGCAAAGAAGAGAAAAAGAAAAGCACAAACGGGAAGAAAAGAGGGAGGAAACCCAAGGAGAGGCCTCCAGAAATGTCTCCAAAGGGCAAAGAAAGCGTGGCAGCAAAGACTAATCACAAGAAAACCCTCGAGCACTGGGAAGGCTCCCGGGGCAGCCCCGAGGGGGACGAGCATGTCCCCAAGCCCCCAGGCCAGCGGAAGGGAGGAGCCAGCAAGATACCTGAGAAATGAGCAGCTCAGAGACTCATGTCCAAGGATTCGTTTACAGCCCAGGGTAACAGGGTGGGGGTCTCTCCCGGTTTTATGTCCTCTCCTTCCCATTCCACCTCCCTTCCCCCCACCCTCCTCTCACCCTCTTTTTACAAAAAGAAAGGAAAAAAAAGAAAAAAAAAAGACAGAAAATACCAATTAACCACTTTAAACAAGTCACGGACCTTGTTTCACACTGGAAAACAAACAGGATCAAGGAAGCTGGACCGTTCTCCACCCCCTGCCTCTGTACATACCCCTCGGTGGGACCCCGCTGCCTCCCCCAGCCCGTGATTCCCTTCCCCTGCGCCAAACTGGTGACGCTTGAGTGAAAGAGAAGTGCAATAGCAGCGGGTCCCGTGGATGGGGACCCTCCGCCAGCAGCTGCGTGCCGGGGCAGGGAGCTGCCTGCCTGCCTGGCAGCCTCCAGCAGGCCCCAGCCTTCCAGCTCCAGGGCAATGTTTCCAAAGATGTTTGACCTGGTCGGGCAGAGGGTCCAGCAGCGGATGCCGGGGGGGTCGGCAGCACTTTCCCCGCTGCCTCAGGTCGAGGGTGAATGCGTTTGGCAGGGATCGGCTCCGTGGAGTGTCGGCTTTGCAGGGTTTGTCTCAGCGGCACAGGCAGAGGAGGGAACAGGGAACGCGGGCACGGAGTGTGACCAGGGCTGGGGGTGCGGGGGGCGAGAGCGGGAGGTGGGACTGGTCGGGTTGGAGGGTTTAATGGAAGGTTGGGGGAATGTTGTGGGCACCGTGGAGAGTGGCAGTGCGACAAAGGAGGGGGCGCAATGAGGGAGCTGTGCTCGGATTGTATTTGTAAACGCATCTGGCAGTGCCGGGGTTGGGGGAGATGGCAGCCATCAACTTGCCCCCCAGCCTGGGGGTGCATCCAAAGGTCGTTGAGAGTCCCATTGGCTCTATCCAATCACACTAAAGGGAGGAATGGGGTCTCGGTTCCCCAGTTGCAGCCGTGGGAGGTGTGTGATGGGGACAGGGGCAGCATCAAGTGACAATCACGGGTCCTGCTTTGGGGCGAGCCCAGCCGCTGCCCAGACACCTCCCGCTCCCCTCGTCCCTCGGGGCCGGGACCCGCTGTAGGGGGAGTTCCTGCTCCCAAAGATGCATCTGAGCCCCCGATCATCCTCCTTGGGATGAGAGGTCCCTGTGGTGCTGTCCCTGCTTGTGCTTTTCCCCTGGGCTCTTCTTTGCACCTGTGCTGACACGGTCATCACACCTCTCTCCAGCCCAGAGGGAACCCTCCCTGGACCAGGACGTATCCGTCTCCAGACAAAACCAGGCTACCTCGGTCCTTGGGAAACAGGCACGTTTCCTCTCGGTAACAGAACAGAAAACCTTAATTCGATTTTTTCCCTATGCAGAGCCAGGAAAGTGGCATCGGAGCTTCTGCTTTTGCTTTAATCAGTTCAAACCTCAATCCTCGCTTTCCCAGGAGTCGCTGCTCCTTGCTGCCCGCTAGAGGTTTGGTATCATTCCCTGGCTTCGAGCAGTGGCTCAGTCATAATTAACATCCTCCACTGGCAGGTTATTCCAGCCGGGCAGGGAGGAGGGACGGTGGTGGCTGAAGCCAGGGCTTCTCGGGGAGCCCGGTCTCCTGCTCTGTCCACAGCTCCGGCCCCTGGATCCACGCTCTGCATTGCCTGGTGAGCTGGGCACGTGCCTGCGGATGAGAGAACGTGCTGGAGCACTGCTGGCTGCGCCGGGCCTCGAGGCAATTAGTGAGAAAGCTTAATTAGTCACTGCGGCGCAGCCTGGTCGCTGCTTGCTCTTCATTGGATCTGTGTTTGGATGCTGTCACCGGGGCAGATCCTGCCTCCCCGGGGAAGGGGGAGAGCTCCAGGAGGTGTAGGATGTGCGTGCTTGGAGCTGCTCACTCTTTGTCATGACAGGGACATTGGGGCACTGTCCTGGCGGTGGTGTTCTCTGGTGCTGAGCCCGTGTGCCCTTGTCAAAGCCACAATGGCTGGGAGGGCAGTGACCCCCCCATGCCAAGAGGGTGTTTGGGGGGCACACTGGGGCTGCTGGGGAGGCCAGCAGCAGCAGGAAGGGGACAGCGGGCAGAGCTGGGGACCTGGCACAGAAATCTCTGCAAAGGGGCAGAGGGAGCCGCTGCATCCCAAAATCATGTCCCACCACCGAAGAAAGCCCTCGGGAAAGCTTCATGTCCTGACCCAGGGAGGGGTGACCCAGGTGGCTCGGACTGCTGGCTCGGATGGTCACCACACAATCCCCACCACCTCCCCCCAGGCAGAGCCCAGGGCTCCATTCTCATTAATGTGCAATTAATTGGCTTCTCGTCGATTAAATTAAGAGGCAGCACTGTGCTGCGTGTGGGGGGAGCCCTGGGAGCTGCTCAGGGCGGGGGAGACCCAGGGAAGGGCTGACTTGGGGAGTTGTCAGGGAGTCCACATCAAAACCCAACGTCTGCTTCCTTAACGAGAGTGTCTGCAAAGGAGCATCCTGAGAGGAGCAGGGACAGCTGTGGTGACCTCACAGAGTGACACCAGCCTGGAGGGGACCCCAGGGACCATCTGGGATCTTAGGGTCAGCAGCAGGAGCAGCAGTCCTGGTGCTGTCCCTGTCACCCTCAGACCTGGGAAACACACACAGCCCTGGTGAGGGCAGCACTGTGGTCAGTTGGGAATTTCCATGAGAAAATGAAATCTTCAAGGGTTTTTTGTTCCCCTGAAAAGGTGTTTTCCCCACTAGTAATCACTCAGAGAGGAACATGTTCCCCCACTTTCTCCATGAGACATCCTTAACTCTCCTGCTTGTCCAGGGAAGGTTCCAGAGCGATGCCGGGACCCCAGCAGCTGCCAGCGAGTGGGCAGGGCTGAGTGACACCACAGTGGCATTGCTGGGGCCGGCAGGTTGTGCCCCTTCAGGTGCTCCCAGTGAGGCACCGCCAGCTGGGAAACCACCTTGATCCAGAGGGATGGGCAGAGGCTGCAGGACCAGATGGGGGGACAAGGTGTCCTGTCCCTTTCTATCCCCTCATCTGCAGGGTTTGGGAGTTTTGTCACCCTGGGGACAGTGACACTGTGGTCCCACACCTCCGCTGTTGTGGAAACCCACCCTCCCGTCACCCGTGTCCCCAAGGAAAGGGCTAAACCTCTGTGGGAGCAGGGATGGACTGCAACCCCATGGGAAGACCTCATGGAAAGCTACAGTCACGGGGGGCTGCTGTGGCTGAGGAACCCCTGGCACTGACACCACACCCTGGTGAGGGTGGGTGTGCTGTGCTGGCTCCAGGCGGGAAGCGAGGGCCAAATCCAGCCACCGTGGATGGAGCTGCCTGGGCCTGGAGCATCTCTCACACCCAGGAGCCTTGGGAGCGTTTTGTTCTTTTCTTTCTCTCCTCGTGACACCCATCCCACGGCATATCCGAATGTTTCTCGTCGATGCCAGTTATTAGTGCATAAGTGTATTTTGGGGAAAAAATGAAAACATTAAAAAAAAAAAATAGGAAAAAAAAAGAATTTTCAATTTATCACTTGTAACCATATATATAAATATATAAATATATATATTAAAAAGTGTTTATTTGCAAAAAATAAAATTGTTTTAACGGTAAACTATCTTATAATAAACTCCCGATTTGTGACGATCTGTTCTTTTGTTAATCATTGACAAATCCTCAGTTGGAGAGTACTGTCCGAGCAGCTCCGAGCAGCTGAGCCCCTGCGGAGGCGCTCCCTGTACTGTATGTATGAAACAGCTGTATCGAATAAATGGTTATTGATTTTTTATTAGCACTGCTGTCATCGTTATTTGGCAGTTCGGAGGGAGGGTTGGACATGGGATCCGATGGGTTTGGATTTGTCCTTCCTGAGGGGACCTCCCCGTCCACTGGGGTTTGAGCGCGTGGTCCCTGGCCCAGGGGTGCGCCCAAAACCAGAATGGGAAGGCTGGGGAGAGTGAGGACTAGGGATGCTTCCTGCACCAGCACTTGGCACAGCCGGCAATCCTGGTGACAGGAGGATCTCCAGAGCCAGAGGATCCCCGGTGCCTGCAGCCCAGTGCCCAGCTGCCCACGACTCCCCTATTTTAGGAGTAGAAATCCCCCTAAAGCTGCTCCCAATCCACCCATGCCATCAGCAGCGTCCAGTGTCTCCCAGCCCCAGGGGCCGCATCCAGCCCAGGACCTCTCCTCCCTGGGGAGCTCTGCAGGACCCGGGCCCCACCTCCCGGTCCTCCCAGCGTGGGAATAAATCCTCTTCTGCTCCCTAATGGTTTTACTGGCACCGAACCCAAGTCAGGGACAGATTTAGACTGATCTCCCTGCTGGCTGAGAATCCAGCCTTTCCCCACGGACGCTCTTGGCTCCCCAAAGGCAGGATGGGGACCCCAGAAGCAGCACTTGCCATGCCCCAAACATGTGCTAACACAAACCTCTGCTCTGGGGGACCCCAGACACAAGATGGGAGCACAATGCCAAGGAAAACCTGGGACCCCCACAGGGCTGGGGTCTCCCCAGCTTCTCCACTCCCCTGTGACCAGGTCAGGGCCTGGGACCACCCAAATCCTGCTGCCCCCAGTCCTGCTGGCAGCAATAAGGGGTGGGGGAAAAGGGGAGCAGGGTTTGCTTGGGCATGGGGTGCAGAGCTGCCCCACAGCACTCACCCATGATAACAGCACTTATTGCATCCCACAGCACCCACCCATGCCCAAAACACCCACCTGCACCCACTCGTGCCCACAGCAGCCATTCGTACCCAAAGCACCCACCCTCCTCACTCCACGGCACCCACTCGTCCCCAAAGCACCCACCTGCATCCCACAAACCCCCCCTTTGTGCCCTACAGCGCCCAGCCACGCTGAGATCACCCTGCAGTGCTCACCTGCACCCCACAGCTCCCACCCATGACCACAGCACCCACCTGTGCTGCAACACCCACCTGCATCCCACAGCGCCCACCTACCCCCCCCAGCACCCACTCGTGCCCAGAGCACCCACCCACACCCCGCATCACCCACCTCTACCCCACGCTACCCACCTACCCCCCACAGCACCCACCCGTGCTCCCACCACCGCACATCACCCCAAATCGCTCCCCACTCCCCGCTTCCCGCTCCCTCCCGGTCCCGCACTACAATTCCCGGGCATCCCCGCGCCAGCACCGCCCCCGCCGCTCCCCGCCCGCTCCCGCCTCTCCCCGCAGCACCATGGCCGCGGCCCCGGTGCCCGAGGGGGCTCCGGTGGAACCGCACGACAGGTAAGATCCCGCATTCTTTTCCCCGGGATAATCCCTCCGGGATGGACCGGCACCGCAGTGCCCCGGAGCCGCCGGTTCCCCATTCCCGCCGCGTCCGGGGCGTTGCGGTGCCGGTCCCGTCCCCCACGATGCCACTTCCGCGAGTGGGGCCTCCCCGAGCCCATCGCACCATTAAAACCCTTCGCCTTTCCCACCAACGACTATTTTTTCCCACCCCCACCTTATCCCTTGTTTATTTTTGTCCCCCCCCTTTTTTTTTCCTTCGCGTGGTCACCTTTCTCCTTATTTCCCTTATTTTATGGGTTTTGCCCTTAATTTCCCAGGAGATAAACCACAGCTCCCATTTTCCAAGCTTTCTGGTACATGCATCCCCTCCATCAAGCACGAGGAGTGGGACAACCTAAACTTTTACACCCAAAAACCCCATCCAGGGCAATTCTGACAACACATGCACTCTCTCTCATGTTTTCCCTCCATTTTCCACCCCCTTTTCCAGCTCAATCCTCAGGGGTTGAGGAGAGTGACTGCTCCCAAACATCAAATGTCTGGGAATTGGATTTGGAGCATCATCAGAGTGCTGATGATGTGGCAAAGCTTATAGGGATGGAACATCCCTGCATCCCTAGTTGTAGGGTACCAACACCCCACCACACCGACCGACTGACCCCAGAGTGAGAGCCAAACCGTCCCGCGTGTTCCGGGAGCTAAATCCGCTGCTGGCAGCTGCCTGTGCCTTTCCTGTGAGTCAGTGGTGGGTAGCAGGGAGGATGAGGATGAGGATGGGAGGAAGGAGCCTCCTCGAGTCATACCAACCAAGCAAGGGATGAGTAACCGGGTTGTGTAACAGAGCCCCTTCCACCGCGGCTCCCGCTCGGTATAAATAGCAGCGGATAATTGAGTTTGAAGAGGGAAATGTTTGTCCTATTGTGGTGAGGGAGCAGAGACCGTAATGGAGCTGGAAGGAAGCGTGTGTGTGTGTGTGGAATTGCTGGGATGAACCGTCTGGCTCTGGGTGGCTCTGGCCAGGGCAGAGGTTGGTACAAGGCTGGGTAAACGTGATGGGTTTGCAGGTTGTGCATGGATATGGCACGACATGGGCACGGCACGGCGTGACCACCAGGCAGTGTCTTGGTGCCCCTGGATCCCCACTGGCAGTGGGGTGGCAGCCAGGTTCCTCCATCCCATGACCAAGTTCCTCCATCCCGTGTGTAAGTCCCTCCATCCTCTGGGCAGGCTCCTCCATCCCACGGCTGAGGTCCTCCATCCCTCGGGCAGATTTCTCCATCCCCTGGACTTATTCCATCCCTTGGGTGGGTTTCTCCATCACATGGGTGGGTTCCCCAGACAGGCAAGGTCCATCCAAGGGCTGACACACATAGATCCAGCCCAACAAAGCCCAGCTCAGTCATGGAGGAAGCAGGCTTGGCCTCCACGCTCCTGCAGGTGCTGCTTGCAGGGTGGGATCTGGGAGCAGGACCCTCTCCCAGGAACAGGCATCCCTCTGTTTTGGGCTTGGTGTGTCCACATCTCTTGCACCTATCCAGTGACAATATGCATGACCAAACCAGGAAAAGCCACATGCAATCCAGCTTCCATCTTTAAATCCTATGGGAAACCCATCGCTGGGAGGGAAAGGGGATCCTGGCCTTTGTGTCTGGTTTCCTCTTCCTCACAGTTTTAAGTCCAGCTCTTGGAGGCTGATTAGAGGAGGGATTTGCGCTTAAAAATCATCTAGAAGGAATAAAGGCCAAAACCAGGGACTTTTGGCCTGTGTGAGAGCTCAGCAACCGTGAAGGGACTTGGGAAGCAGAGGAGATTTGCAGAGGAGCATGTGCCAGGAGGAAGGCTCTGTCACTGCCGAGGTTTGGAGGCAGTGCGAGCGATTCCTGTCCCACCTGGGAATCTGGGATGTTGAGTGGGATGCTGGGAGAGTTGCTCCTGTCACTGGGACATTTTAACAAAGGCAGGAAAAGTGGCAGCAGGAGCGTGCGATAAGGAACAATATCCCTGGGCGAGGGCTCCTCGCGCCGCGTCCCCCGTCCCTTTGCTTTTTTGCTTTTTTAATGAGAAGGAACAGAAATGGCTCCGGAAGAGAATTTTATTTTTAAACTTCTGAGAGAGCTTTTACAGCAAGAGGAGAGTCTGGGCAGAGATCAGAGGTGGAAAAGTTCCTTTGATCATCGCTCACTTCCCTGATGTCAGGGCAGCAGCTGCGGCTCACACTGGGGACAGGTTACCCCAAAACCCTCCTCTCCCTGTCCCCTGCTTCAGGACCAGCCCCTCATCCCTGGTTCCCATCAGGTCTCCATCTTTTGGGGCAATGATCTCCTCTGCAGGTCCTGTTGGTGAGCAGGAGCAGGAGGGGGCTGATGCCCCCCTTGTTCAGGAGGGGTTTGCTGAGGACACTGGAATGCAGTGTGTGACCCCTGCTTCTGGCGTAGCCCTGGTGGCTCCAGAAGATGGAGGAGGGGGAAAGAGTCTTTTTCCACTTCTGGCCCCACCTCCAGGTGTTGGTGCTAAGCAAGAGGGAGCACCCACCCCAGACCCCCTCAGCTTAGAGGCCGAGGTCCCATCTCGGGAGGCTGGAGTCTCATTTGGTGACCATGGAACATCATTGGGATGCTCCATGTCCCTGGCAGAGCCTGGCTGCCCTCAAGGTGTCCTCTGCCACCTTCTTCCTTCCTCAGCAGCCAGGGGTTGTGGGGTGGGGGCTGCTCTGCCCCAGCCCCTGCACACCAGGGCTGGCTGGGATCCCCCTCCTGTGGTGCCCAACATCTCCCACTCTTAGCATATGTCCTGCCTGTCAGAGGGTGCCTGGCCGGCCAGCCAGCCCAGGGGGGGCGAGGGGCAGCTGGCAGGGGGTGCTGAGGGAGCGGATGGCCGGGCACAGCAGCCAGCAGGACGTTATTCTTAGCCACCCGCAGCTCCAGGGTGTTGAGTTTCACCCACTTGTTTACTTCAGGGCTGAGGGGACAGTGAGGGGCAGCTCTCGGGGAGCTGAGTGACCAAGGGTGGGGAACTCACAGCTGGACCCCCACCGATGGGGGGGGGGCATGAGTCCTGCCCCAAAAAGCCGGGCACAGCCAGCAGCCCCCTGGCCCTGAGCCCCAGCTGCTCCACCAGCTGCACGTGGGGTGCTGTCTGGGTACCCCCTCCATCCCTGCCCTGGGGACATCCCCTCCTGCCCCCCTGCAGACCCCTCCCCACCAGTGTCAGGAGCCCACTGGGGACTCACCAGTGCCCGTGGATGTGGATGTCACTCACCAGGTGCCCTCCCTGCAGAGCCCCCTCGTCCAGGGCGGTCAGACACCCCCGGTCCTGGGGAGCAGAGGCGCCGGGGGCTGGTGTTTATTGCGTGTGCTGGGGGCGGTGAGGGGAGGTGTCACTTCATCCCCGACCCCCCCGCTTTTTTTTTAATCAAGCCAGTGCTATTAATATCAGGTAATGAACGTAATCTGGAGGTTAAGCTATCCTCTTATGCTGCTGACCGCTGCGCAGCTCCCAGACGCAGACACTCCCCCAGCTCTGCTCGCTTCTCCTGCCTCCATCTTCCAGCCCCCTGGATCTGCCGGGGGTCTGTGGCAGCCCGGCCTCTCGGGACCCCGCAGTCCCAGTGCCGGGGGGGTCGCTCCGTGCATGGCTCCGAGCCCCGAGGCTCGCCCGGCTGCCTTCCCACCCTGGTAGTGCCAGAGATTGGGGACAGGAGCCGAGGTGCGGGCAGGGACAGGGAGTGACACCCTCTGTCCAGGACAACCCCCAGCTCGGCGGTGGGGGGAGATGAGCAGCCCCCCAGCCTTCTCCAGCGTCCGCATCTCAGGCTGCTGGGCCCTCGGGCCGGATGGCGGGTGAGTTTTGCCTCGTTTTTGAGTGCATTTTACTGGTTTTCACCTGTTTGCTTGCTGGAGCGAACCCTCGGTGGCCGCAGTCCCAGTCTCCCAGCTCCAGTTCCCATAGCTGAGGGCTATGAGAGTGCAGGCAGCAGCCTGGAAAAGATCAGTTTCCCGTGGGACATGGCTGTGGCCAACCGGGAGCCTCGGCAGGCTCAGGGGGCTGCTGGGGGGTCCTGAGGGCTGGGAGCTCGGTCGGTGGGTTGTTTACAGGGTGCAGAGCCCAGGACATGCTCTTCTGTCCACTGCCAAGTTCAGGTTTGGGGCTGTGCCATCTTTCCTTGCTGCTGTAGGCGCTGCTGGGACCTGCTGCCTTTCTCAACCCGGCCCAGCAGGGATCCAGGGTGGTCAGGGCTCTCTGAAGACAGCGGAATGCAGAGAGCTGAGCACAGGGCACAGGGATGGGGATGGGAGCACAGTGGGGAAGGAGAGAGGTGCCTCTCACACCTCAGTAAATCCATGCTTGGACTAAGCAGGAGCAAAATGCTTCCTTCATTAGTGCTGGCACGGCAGCAGGGCTGGAGAGCCCTTGTGGGAAGCAGACCCCCTCCACCAGGCTTCCTCGAGGAGGCTCCAATGAGGATGCACCAGCTGCAGGGAAGGCAGAGCATCCCCAAAAGCTGGGGACAGCCTGTGGAGAGGCCTTCCAGGTAGGCTTGACAGGAGAGGGGTTACCAAGCCAGGGTAATGTTTCCTTTCCTATTTGCCTGGCTGTGGTACTGAGCTGCTGAACCCCAGCAATCCACAGCAGTGAAGAGGGTCCATGTGGGACAAGGAATAGCATGGACTCAAGCTCTAAACAGGATCCCATTCTCTCAGGGCTCTGCAGGTTGGGACATTGTGGGGGCTTCATCACTGCTACAGGAAATTTTAAAAGGGGATAGGGAAGAATGGCCAGCGGAGATGGCTTGGATCAGCCATCCCTTTGGAGCTGGGAAGAGCCCCTTTCTAGCAAAGGCAGAAGTGGAAAACATCTACAAATCTTGAAGTGTAACATTAGGAGAAAAGGCATGACCTTTGGAGAGCTCTGGGACAGCCCCGCAGACCGGCCCACAGCCCTCCTTCTCCCACATAAATCATGGGAAACATGGATTTGAGAGGTGTAGAATATCTGCCTCCTGTACAGGCACCAACAGTGTAGATGATATCGATAGAAATGTGTAGAATTTTGGTGAAAGCCCAGAAATATTTGGATGAGATGAGGCAAAGCACCAACTCTTGGAACAGGATTAAAGTGCTGCATCCCAGAGCAGCCCCAGGTGTGTGCGAGGGGAGGATGGCTCTGCTCCTCTCCCAGGGGTGCATGTCTCTGCATCCCACAGGAATGTCCCCTTTGTGCCAACACCCTGGGTGTGCTGTGGGCACCCAGGAGAGGAGAGGGGAGGGGTGACACTTGGGAAAATGGGATGGAGCTGTGGCCATTGCTTGTAATTCTGGGCACTGCCAGAGCCATCAGGGTCCAAACCTCCCTGTCCCTGCCAGGAGCTGGATGATGTCGATGCTGGTCAGAGGCACCGGTAGCAGAGGTGAGCCTTGCTCTGAAAAACAGAGCTTTGCCCAACTCGGAGTCACTTTGGGAATGATGGCCTAGGTCAGGATCTGCGAGCTGGCACAGCAGAACTTGTCAGTGTGTGACCCCAAGGAGCAGAGCATCCCGACAGGCTCGCCTGTCGCATGGAGACCGACGTGCATTCCCAGAGGAAAACCAGCTGAGCAACCCACGGCGCAGCGCCAGTGGCAGAGCTCTGGAGTAACCACAGTCCCAGGAGAGGGACCGGGATGCGGATGAAAGGAACCGCTTTATTTTTCTGGTAAACAACTGTGGGTTTGTCATCTCTGCTTTTATCAAGCCAAAGTGACTTTGTTCATGCACCAGCACCGCCGGCTGCTTGTCAGCCCCACTCTGGGAATAGCACCATTGGGAGAGGAGACCCATATAACCCATCTGGGTTTGCTGCTCCTGGTGGACAGAACCATTTTGGTAGACACCCCAGAAGGTTTCCTGATGGGTCTCACTTCCTGAGGTCGCTTTTTAAAAGTGATAGTTGGGGTGTTCCTGGCTCCTGGTTGAACTAGAACCCACTTGGAACTGGTTGTGTGTGCTGATGGCCTCTGGCAGGGGATGGGGTATTGATGGCTTGAGGCTCTTGTGGGACACTCTGTGGGTGCACACCTTTAGGTAGGCATCGGTGGGAGAGGTCTTGGTGCAGGGGCAGGAGCTGCAGCCTGCCTTTTGTTAGCAGGAGTTCAGCAAAGTCAGGCAAATCCCTGTCTCCTTGCCCACTCCGCAGGGATGTGCCGGTGCAGGAGGTAGGGATGGTTTCCTGGGGGGGTCCTGCCGTGCCCAGGGGGTTTGCCAGGGCGATCCCCACTGTGCCCGGCAGGTTTGCTGTGTCACTTCACGCACAGATGGCCAGTCTGAAATTTTGATCTTTATCTAAAATTGTTCTAAAAGGGGCTCAGGGAGGGAAGGGAATTAACCTTCATACCAAAACAGCTTAAAATCAACCCAAAATCTGTAAAGCCCTGCAGTTTAAGCCCTTTCAAAAGCAAACCATAATAGAGCAGCAGCAAAGCCCCCCTGGCTCGGCTGGGCTGTACTAGATAGTGCTGGTTTGGAGCCATTGGTGCCCAGATCTCTTGGTTTCCCTTCCAGCCCAGTCATGGCTGAGGAGAAGAGCAGCCTGAGCAGGGAGGAGCCCTCTGCACCTTCTCCCAGGGAACAGACATCCCTCTGAGGTGGCGGAACACAAGCAGGGAGGAGAGGGCACTGGTATAAATAATCCTCCCCGTGCCCGTGCTGGCTGGGCAGTGGCTGTAGCTTATCTCCTGGCCAGAGGCCACTTATCATTTCCCAGCCACTGCTCTCCCGCTGCCAAGCTGGAAAGGGCTCAGGAGGGTGTGTTGTTCCTCTCCCTCCCCGGGGCTGCGGTGGGAGGGTAGATAAGGGAGAGGAGCCTGCTCTAGGGCTCCAGGTGAGCTCAGAGCTCACCCAGCTCCCAAGGCAAAGCTGATGCCAACATCTTGGCAGTCCCACTGCCTGGTTCTGCCCAGCTCACAGGCTTGTCCCCAGGGACTTCAGGACAAAGGAGTGGGAGAACTAGAGCTTGAGTTGGAGTGCAGTGCTCAGAGTAGGGAGAGGAATGGAATTGGGGGTGGAGGGGATGAGGGCAGTTTAGCTGTAGCCCGTGTGTTTGACTTCTATCCCCAAGAAAGGTCCCTTGGCACATCAGAAAGTGTTGTTGTCCCCTGTAACACACCCCTCTGTGTTTCGAGAGCTCAGTGGGTGGTTTATTTCACACAGACCTTCCCCAGGCAGCAGGACTTTAGGGAGGGAGGTTTGCATTGCGCCTGTTCCAGGTTAAAACTGCTCCTGTGTAAGAGTTCCTCAGGGTTGGCCATGGCCCGGGGTCACAGAGGTGTGGGTGCTGGTAGTGCTGCAGCAGGGCTGTGGCTGCCTCTCCCCCTCTTCCATTGCATCCCTCATCCATGTGGTGTGGGATCCCCTCAGGACCCTGCTCCCGCACACTGGGAACGCGTGTCCTTCCCTGCTCCCAGTAACCGCGCTCCTTCCTCTCGCCGTCCCCAGTAACAGCAGTGCTGAATCCCTGGACCGGCTGTATCCCACGGTGGGCTCCACCAAGCCCCCCCGGAAGCGGACCACCAGCCAGTGCAAGTCTGAGCCCCCACTGCTGCGGACCAGCAAGAGGACCATCTACACAGCGGGCCGGCCGCCGTGGTACAACGAGCACGGGACACAGTCCAAGGAGGCCTTCGTCATAGGTAGGACACCTCTACACTGCCCAGGCAGCATTGCTGCCACCTGCCCTGTGGGTCTCCAGGAAATCGTGGGGGGATTCCTGCCACATCGCCTCCTTGGAATTTTGGGGTTGGCTCCAGCCCGAACAGGAGCAGGGAGAGTCCCCTTGGTTAGCCCAGCATTGGCTGGGTGGGCTGAAACCAAGAGTGTGCAGAGGGGCTGGTGGATTGTAGCAGACCAGAGTCTTTGTTGTTCCCTCAACTCCTGTTGCCTGGGCTGTCACGAGTTCCCAGGGATTTAGTCTGGGCTAGTTCCCATGCCAGCTCTCACCGTGTTACACAACCATCTAGTGAAGGGTTTCCCAGCTTTTGCTGGGCATGTTGCTGGCAGTTCCAGTACATGCCACTTGACTTTTTCAAGGATAATCTCTTGGAGTGCCTATGATTTCCCTCTTTGAAGGTTCCTCCAGCTTAGTGCAACAGTGCAGGACCTGGGCTCCAGCCTGTGGTGGGAAAGGCTGTGCCCGGGGTTGATGACTCCATTCCCTTTTCCCTGGCAGGCCTGGGAGGAGGCAGCGCCTCTGGGAAGACCACAGTGGCCACCATGATCATTGAGGCTCTTGATGTCCCATGGGTGGTTCTGCTGTCCATGGACTCCTTCTACAAGGTGAGGCTGCACGTGGCCCTGGCCAGGCTCCTCAGGCTGCCATGGCCCTTGGCATAACCCTTGGGTGGTGGGGCCCTGACACAGGTTGCCCAGAGAAACTGTAGCTGCCCCATCTCTGGAAGCGTTCAAGGGAAGAGGTGACTGGGCACAGCACTGGGGAGGGAAGTGCACGGCCACGTGCCCTAAGCTCTGCTCTGTGGCAGGTGCTGACCAAGCAGCAGCAGGAGCAGGCAGCCAGCAATGACTTCAACTTTGACCACCCCGACGCCTTTGACTTTGACCTCATCATCGCCACCCTCAAGAAGCTGAAGCAAGGCAAGAGTGTCAAGATCCCCATCTATGACTTTACCACCCACAGCCGCAAGAAGGAATGGGTATGGGACACTGAGGGGGGTGGGACAAGGTGGGGGACGGCCAAGGCAGGGGAGAGGGAGCCAACTGGACCCCTCCAGCCCCTGCCCTTTGCAGTCAGATCTGTGCTGTTGCCCTGTGCCCTGTGCCTGGCTCAGGGAGTGTTTTTGGGTGAGCTGTCGCAGTCACTCACAACCCAGAGAGGTTCCCTGGGACGAGGCATCTCTGGACAGATGTTCTGTGCTTAACCACATCCATTTTGACTCCACAGAAAACCCTGTATGGCGCCAATGTGATTATCTTTGAAGGCATCATGGCATTCGCAGACAAGGAGCTCCTGAAGGTGAGGAAGGGTTTCTAAGCAGTTCTGGCAGGAGATGGTGGGAAGATGCTTTCTCCTGAGGTCCAGCAGGAGGGAGGTGACCTTCCCTTCCAGGTTATACCAGCTACTGTAGAACTTCCCTGTGCAGGAGAAATAGGCTTTGACTCTGCACCAGCAGGGGAAGAGCCCTGGCAGAGGTCAAATGTTTCGGTAAATACCTCGATCTCAACCATTTGTGCCCAGGAACCAGGAGCTGTGCTGAGTGGTGACCTGGTTCCTGGCAGTGCTGATGCATAAATACAACTAGAAATAGCTCACCTCCACACTGCTGCAGCTTGCATAGCCAGAGGCAAAGTCTGCTGAACTTCTAGTGCACAAACCTGGTGTTCCTAGCATGGACTCATCCAGCGGTTCAGGCTTTCTTGGGAATTATTTGGACACATCACAGAATGGTTTAGGTTGGAAGGAACGTTAAAAGAACATACAGTTCCACCCCCCTGCCATAGGCAGGGACACCTTTCACTAGACCAAGTTGATCCAAGCCCCATCCAACCTGGCCTTGAACACTTCCAAGCATGAAGCAGTCACAGCTTCTCTGGGCAACCTGTGTCAGCACCTCACCACCCTCACAGAGAAGAATTTCCTCCTAATCTCTAATGTAACCCTGCCTTCTGTCAGTTTGAAGCCATTCCCCCTTGTCCTGTCACTCCAGGCCCTTGTCCAAAGTCCCTCTCCAGCTCTCTTGGACCCTCTTTAGGTACTAAAAAGAGCTCTAAGGTCTCCTCAGAGCCTTCTCTTCTCCACACTGAACAGCCCCAGCTCTCAGCCTGTCTCCATATAGCAGAGGTGCTCCAGCCCTCAGAGCTTCTTCACAGCCCTGACAAATGCTCCATCAGACAGTGAGCCATGCACAGACTTAGCCAAGCTCTGTCTAAAAAGTTCTCTCCCCTGCCAAACAAGCGCTTGGGTTGCACTTTTCTGGAGCAAGGATGACCTCCAGTGGACAGCTGAGTGAATCCCCCAGGAAACTTTCCTCAGCATCCCTGCTCCTGCCTCTTGCAAGTAAGGGCAGAGTCATGCGCTGCCCTACTGTGCTGGGCTCCTTTCGAGTGTTAATTCCCTGCCTATAGAAGGGGCTTGGAATGAGATGATCTTTAAAGTTCCTTCCAACCTAAACCATCCCAGGATCCTATGATTAAGAAGCCAGTGCTCCTGGGTGGACCCTGTTGGTCAGTGTTGTGGGCAGTAACTCCTTTTGTCTCCTTGCTCCTAAATAAGATCCAACCAGTGTGTTGGAGCTGGTCAGTAGCGGGGACAGGGTTTGGAGCAGGACAGGTCTCAGAGGGCACAAGAGTAACGGGCAGGTGGCAGCAAGGAACTCACTGGAGCACCAGCCAGCTTCCAAGGAAAAGCTCCTCCAAAGCTGGAGCAGAGACGGGCACTGTTAAACAGGAGCTGTGCTGAGCACGGGGGGGAAGGTGGGTTGAGTCACACACCTGACCCGGTGGGGTTTGTTCCCTCCCCTCCCACTTCAGCTGCTGGATCTGAAGATCTTCGTGGACACAGACTCGGACATCCGCCTGGTGCGCCGCCTGCGCAGGGACATCAGCGAGCGCGGCCGGGACATCGAGGGTGTCATCAAACAGTACAACAAGTTTGTCAAGCCCGCCTTCGACCAGTACATCCAGCCCACCATGCGCCTCGCAGACATCGTCGTCCCCCGAGGTACCTGCCCAGAGCTGGCCTGACGGGCAATCCCTCAGAGACCCTGTCCCTCTGCCCTCAGCTCTGCTGGCCAGTCCACTCCCCTCCAGCTGGCGAGGACAGAGTCCCATGCCAAAGCAAAGGTCCCTCCAGCCAAGTGTCTCCAAACTCTGGCCAAATGCAGGTTCCATGGGGAAAGTCTGGGCTTTTCCCTCAGCCAGCCTCCTGCCCTGCCACGTCCTGGCAGCACAGCGATTGAAGAGCTGGAAATGACTTGTAGATATCCAGTAACAGACTACTGAATAAGGGTTTAATAAAAGCAGGAATGTCTCCTGCTTTGCTAGGAAAGGGCTCTTTGGGGAAGCAGGGGTACAGTGTGGTTTTGAGCACAGTGGGGAATTTGAGGAAGAAACATGGAAGAAAATTGGTCCTGACCAAGGTGACTCTCCTTTTTCTGGTATTAAGTGACAAGACAAAAGGAAAGGGCCTCAGGTTGAACCAGAGGAGTTTTAGACTGGGTATCAGGGAAAATTTCTTCACCAAAAGTGCTGGTAAGCCCTGGCACAGGCTTCCCAGGGCAGTGGTGGAGTCACCATCCCTGGAGGGATTTAAAAGATGTGTAGTTTTGGCACTCAGGGACATAATTTAGTGGTGGGCTTGGCAGTGCTGAGGGAGCGGTTGGACTCGATGACCTTAGAGAGCTTTTCCAACCTTCACAATTCTGTGATTCTATAATTCTTTTGCTTTTGGTTCACTCCAGGGAGTGGAAACACTGTGGCCATCGACCTGATTGTTCAGCACGTCCACAGCCAGCTGGAAGAGGTAAGAGCTGCTGGATGGTGAGGAAGGTTCACAGCCTTGCCTGGCAGTGGTGGCGTTGCTGGGAGCCGTGCTCTGGGTGCCCAGGTGGGAATGGCCTGGCTTCCTTTGTGCTCCAGGTGTGGGAGTCCCTGTGAGCTCCTCCCAGCCCTCTCCCTCACTCCAGTGAAGGAAACTGCCTTGTCCCTGTGTTCTGATTAGTCATTGCTCCTCTACCAGCTGCGTCCAGCAGCAAATTCCTTCCCTGCCTGGGAGAGCACATCATCAGGGGACAAATCAACAATCCTTCTGTCATCCAAGAGATGTGCCCCCTTGCCTGCAGCCCTCCTGGAGCAGCATCACCCCAAACCCTCCACTCCTTCAGCTCTTGGGCTTCTCCTCTTCCCCCCTGTGCAGATGCTGCTGCACAAGTCTTTCCAGTCGGGAGTCCACTTTTCCACTTCTGTGGCCCTGGATTTCAAAACCCAAAGTCTTATCAGTGTTTGAGCCTTGTTCCAGACACATGCTCCATCACTTCCCCACCACTGGCTTTAACAAGTCTTCTCCCATGTGTCCCAGGCCAGTCCTGACTGGTGGTTTGTGACCCTGTGATCAGCTGATGCTGTTGTGTGCTGCTGTCACCAAGCAGCACAGCCTCCTCCCACCCCACAGCTGTAGCTTTAGTGATGTTTCAGTCATGGAGATGCTCAGAGCGATCTCCTGGGAGATGGAAGAAGTGTGACCTGGCAATGGATGCGCCTCAAAGTAAAGGGCTTGATTCCTTCAAGTCTTTTGGAGGTCTCAGGTGGCAGGAGCTGCTTGGCCTTGGGATGGGAGCTGGCACACCACAGCATCCTGCTTCCCATGCCTGCTCAGGAGGGACCACTCTTGAGCAAAGGTGTCTTGGCAAGTTCCCCCTCCCGGAGCACCTGACTGCCTGGATTCCCAGCATTAAGCTCTAGAAGGTTGGGAATGTGGTTTCTAAACCCTTGGTCACAGGAGGAAGGATCAGAGCCCTGGCATTGGTGCTAGCACCAGGCTGAGGAGCGCACCCAGCCATGGGGCACAGTCCAGGGGAGGGGAATGTCTGTTTTCCCCCAGCCCCTGAGATCCAGCCGAGGAGTATCGTGGCAAACCCAGCAGCTCCCCTGGGTGCTGCTGCGAACCAGACAAAGGGTTGGCTTGGGGGAGGCTTTCGCAGACTTGGGGAGGGGAAGAGGGGTAAAAGGCTACATGTGAATGCAGGAAAATATTCCTATTTTTCCTTTTTTTTTGTCTTGAAACGACCCTGGTGTTGACAATGCTTAATACCGGTTGCATTGTGTCTTTGTGTTGCTGCCGCAGCGTGAACTCAGTGTCAGGTAAGAGCCCTCACTCTGTCCTGTCTGTGCAGCCGAGGCATTTCCAATGCCAGGCACTGCTTGGCCTCACCCTGACCTGCAGCGGGACTGACAGCTCGTGTAGCACACGGCCTTGTCACGCTCAAAGGTGACAAAAGGCCTCCTTGTCCTTGGCTTTGGGATGGCAGGGACAGGGCTGCTCCCCAGGGATGTACCACCAGCTGGAGCGCAGATCCCTGAAGCTGGGGCAGGGCCAGGTTTGTAGCTGGGGACCCCCAGTCTCTGTGAGGGGGAAGGCTTTGCACCCCGAGATTCTCTTTTATTTCTCTTCATCCTCTAAGATGAACGGTTTTCAGAGCAACTCTCCATCCCTGATGATTAAACATCATTATACATAAATTATTAGATTAGCCAAAGCATCTTAAAAATAAATAAAAAAATTGGTGGAGAGTGACATCTTGCTTGGGCAGATAGTGATAGGACAAGGGGAAACAGTTGTAAGCTAAAGGAAGAGAGACTTAGATTGGATATTAGGAAGAAATCCTTCCCTGTGGGGGTAGTGAGGCGCTGGCACAGGTTGCCCAGAGAAACTGTGGATGCCCCATCCCTGGAAGTGTCCAAGGTCAGGTTGGACAGGGCTTGGAGCAACCTGGACTAGTGGAAGGTCTGAGGGTTGGAATGAGATGAGCTTTAAGGTTCCTTCCAACCCAAACCATTCTGTGATCTTGAGGGTGGTGGGAGCCCTGGACCCCTCACCACACACAAGTGCTGTGCCTGATGGCACCCAAAGGAGCGTAGCAGCTTCACATCACCAGAGGTACCCCCTTTCCCACTGCATCCAGAGGCTGTACAGCCACTGCTGGAGGACTGAGAAAATCCTGCTGCCCAACTCCAGCAAGATTTCTGATTTCTAGGTGTCTGCAGGTAGACGTTATAACATATATGTCGATTTACTTAACCTCTTCAGCATGTGCCTCCAGATGGGACTTTGGCTCTCTTCCTTCCATTAAGGCTTTCAGGTATTTTTGTAGGAAGCAGAGGGAATGCATTACTGCAAATGGGTTTCCATTTAGATCTCCATCATTGTATGGAGATGCATAACTCAAGTAGCCCTAAAATTTACCTTTGGCATACAATGCGCTTTTAAAATACCTGAGATGTACAGGGAAGAGGCCCTGCCTTACTTATTTCTGCTTCAGCCAGTCATTTCTGGACTAGGGCAAGTGGATGTTTTATTTTATTTCTCTTTGCTTGTGTAACACCCTGGGGCCTGACATTTCCATACAGACACCTAAGCTTCCCTCTGTGTCTGGAGGTCCAGGTGGGAAGATGCTGTTTAGTATGGAGAGAAATCTGTTACTTTAAAATATGGCAGGAATAACATTAGCAAAGGCACTAATGTGTGTGTGGGAGTGTATATGTGAGTGTATATATACATATAAAATTATATGTATATACACAAATTAAATGTTATATATATATATATATATATACACACACATATGCACAAATAAAATTTCCTTTCTCTCCAGGGAAAGGGGCACTCAGTACAGGTGATCTTTTTCTGTACCTTAAAAATCAGGTATTTAATATATCCATAAAGTATTAATAGTTTTATGATAGCAAGTTTGGAAAGGTAACCCTGACCTCCAGAAACACCTCTGTGATCATGACAGCCACAGCCAGTTTTATGTTCCGTTTGAGGCTCGTGGTTTCCATTTATGCCTTTGACGTAAAATCTGGAAAAAATTTCCTGCAAAAGCCCAAATATGTTCCACTGCTGGAGCCTCAGTGCTTTACTGCCACTGCTGTTTCCCCCAGCCCCTCTGTGGCTCTGCAAGAGGAACCAGGTGGATGGAGAGACACAACGAGCGAGATGTGCCTGGAGAATACGGGCTTTTCATCACAAACAATTCCCCATCCTCTTGTCTGGAATGGCTTCTTCTAAATGTCACGGTTGTTGTTCTGATGTCACCACTGTTTGCTGGCGGTGGGGACGCAGGGAGGGCTTTGTGCTGGGAGGATAAAACCTGGATGCTCAGATCTGGCCCCAGTCCGAGGTGCTTCTGGAGGCTGTGCTCCAGGGATGCCTTTTCTGACCGAGGGGCTGGCTGGGACAGGCAGGGAGTGCCTTTCCCCCATCAGATGGGTGAATTCTGGGGAGTTTAAAGGAAGTGGTGGCTTCCTTGGACCTACAAGGCTTGTTTTCATCCTATAACTGCTGGCTGCTGAGGAGCTTCATTGCCTTCTCAGTTATTCCCTCAGAATACAGGTCAGACTTTAGCATCCTTGCTGCTGGGGTATTTCTTGTCCAGCTTCCCCTGTGGAACTGTGCATGTGCTGGAGAGGTAATTCCATACCAGCACTCCCATTCTATCCATCCCCGGGTGGGTGTTTCTCCTGCAGCCTGGTAGCAGGATTTGGAGCAGCCAGCCCATGCCCTCCAAGGCACAGTGCTCCCAGACCAGCCTGTTCTCCATCCCTCCTGCCACACTCTCAGCATCCAGCCCCGTTCCCAGATCCAGCGCTCTTTCCAACCGATTCCCCTCGCCAATCAATATTCCCCACCCCCAAGGTCCCGATCAGCTTGGCGTGCCCTTTGCCAATTGTGTCTTTAAATATCAACCCGTGGCGCAGTTTAATAGCCCTTGTTTGAAATGTCAGCCCTGAAAGGCAGCCGTGTACGTGTTTGAAATGCCTTGACTGCATCAGCTCCTTTGTAGCTGGATGTCTCTTGTCTGCTTCCTGCTCGATAGCATGTTCCACAAAGAGCTGAGGATGTTCCCTGAAGCCTTCCTGGGAGATGGTCACCCCTTTCTCTCTCTCTCTTTCTTTCTTTTTCTTTCCGGGTTTTTTTTTCCCCTTTAAAGCTTTTGTTCTGAGGGGGAAAAATTGTTTCCAAAATAAGACATTTTCTTGACGTGCTCATGGCTGCTCGTCTGGATGTTCCATCACAGTCCTGCCTGGCAGGAAGGGACAGGAGGCATCAATGCTCCCTCCTTCCCTCCTGGGATGAGCAGGGGGTGGCATGGCAGTGGTGGGGTGGCTGCCAGAGGGGCTGAGCTCTCCCCTCAGCCTGCAGCCCTTCTCCAGGCATGGTGAGCCCAGGGCAGGTCCAGGTGAGCCCGGGGGAAGGAAGATCTTCCCAGCGGGCAGTGATGTTCAGTTCAGAGATGGGTTTCTCCCCATGTTCCCGGTGCTCTTGGCTTTCCAGGCTCTCCAAGGCTTGAGCAGATAATCTCTTCAGCATGCAGGAGGGGGACACCCCTGTGAGCCCACAAGCAGTTTACCTGGGAGCAGGACAGGTTGGATGAAGGTTTTGCAGGTTGGACAGAGGTTTTTGGTTTTGAGTGCCTGCACTTGCTCTGGGATTGCAGTGGAGCCCTGGGTGAGGGCTGGGCATGAGCCCTGGAAATGTTCAAGACCAGGCTGGATGGGGCTTGGAGCAGCCTGGTCTAGTGGACCTGCTCATGGCAGGGAGGGTGGAACAAGATTATCTTTAAGGTCCCTTCCCACCCAAACCATTCTAGGATTCTATGGTTCTATGCCCCTCCAGGCTCCAAGGGCCTCTGTTGCAGTGTGGTATTACCCAGGACAGAAGTGGGACAGTGTCCTATTATGTCTCTGGAGCAGTGGAGCCAGTGCTGTGGAGAGCAGCAGTGACATGACTTGGTCACGAAGGGAGGAGCACTGGTTCTGCATGGTGATGGCCTGGGCACCAGGCAGGTCCAAGAGTCGTTGATCAATTAGGGAATTTTTTCCCCCTTTGACTAATGAGAGTGCTTTCTCCTCTGTTTCATGTCCTGTTTGTCCCTCTCCCCTTAAACTCTCGTGTCTCCTGTCTTGTCTCCCCTGAACATCCCTCCCACCGGGTGACCAGAGGAAGCTGCGCTGGGATATGTGAGGAGACAAACGCTTATGGCAGTGTTTTGGTTGTGACACTAATGGCGGGGAGTGGGCAAGTGCTGTGCAGGGTGAGCCGCCTCACTAACCCGGGCTGGGGGTCTTGGGGCAGACAGCTCATAGGGTCCTGCTTTGCTGGGGCTGTGTGGACCAAACAGGGGTGGAGGCACTCGAGAGAGCAGCTTTATCCCAAAAATGGGACCTGTTCCCCCAGAAAGTACTATAGGGACCCCCACAGCACTGACTGGCTTTCAAGCAGGCATCCAGACCTCCCTGTCCCTGCAGTGCGTGGGTGTCACAGGAAGGTGCAGAGAACTCGGTGACAGAATGCTGACAGCATTTCCTGGGGGCCTGTTGACAGCTCAGAGTTCAGGGGCGGTGTTCCCACCGCTCACGGAGCTTGGAGCACTCACTGGTATCTGCAGCAGGGAGCAGGAGCCGGGCTCACACCAGGGCAGGAAAGGGGCTGCCCATCCCACTGGCATGGCAGAATGCTGGTACATAGACCTGGCAGTGATGGAGGGGAGAGGTGCCAGTGGCAAGCTCATTCCTGTGCCCCTAGGTGGGCTCTGGTAGATGGAAGATGATCCCAACAGCTCCTCTGGTTTAGGCAGCAGCAGTTTGTCACCTGGGCAAACCCAGCGGGGGCCATGAACAGGTATGTGGCTCTGTGTTGGGGGTCCCATCTCTGCCCCCCTAAAGCAGGCAAACAGGCAGCCCCTGTGCAGGCACCATCTGCCCAAAGCAGGGCTCATGCCCTCACCCACCATGTGGGCACCCTGAGGGGCGGGAGGGGTTTAGGCAGGGCTTTTCCCCCAGGATCTGTTCCCAGACCAGGTCTGGCAGGAGGAGGGAAGGGGGGACTGTGGGGGCAGAGCTGTGGGTGCTGCTGGCAGCACAGCCCTGGCGTGAGAGTGGCTCTGACAGCAGCAAATCCGCGGGGCAGCGACTAATGGGGTGAGCTCGCTTCACTGACAGCAGGCCCGGGGCCTTGAGGGCTGCTTGTCCCAAACCAGTGATGGGCTCTGCAGGCAGCAGGTGAGCCCACGATGGGACCACAACCCATCCATGCTCCCCACATGGCTGCCAGCTGTTCTGGCTCTCCGGAGCGTTCCCTGCATGGGGGCTCCTGGCTGCTACACAGGACTGGAGCTGGCAAAAGCAAGAAGGAGCCCTTAAGTACCCACAGGCCTCAGGAATGTCTCGTTTGGTGTTGGTTGGCCAAGACCAAGAGATGGCTTTGTGGATGGAGGCCTCAAGTTGCCTAGCTCTGCCCTCCTCCATGCCTACCCATCTTCTCTGTCCTCCTCTCTGCTTGCGTGCCTGCCTCTGTGTGCCATTAATCCAGGTTTCTGCTTGATTTCAAATCTTAATCATGCGGTGCTTTCGTTTGCTCTCTTCTCCACCTCCCCAACATCTCTCTGACTGGGATGCAGCTGCTGGCACGTGTGTGATCTGACGTGTGGCTTTCGGACCCCAGCCCTCCTCCCAGACAAAGTTGCTTGTCCATCCTGCCCAGCCTTGTGGAAGCCAAATGTGTCCTTCCTCTCATTACTGCTGCTCTCACAGGGAGAGGTGACTAATGGGGCTCCATTGTGCGCTTCCCCAGGAATGGTGTTCCCTTGATCCAAGAATAGCTCCCAACCCTATTTGTTATGTGGAATGAGTCACACAGAGCCATTCCTGTCCAGCCATAAAGTCTTGAAGCTGTTCCCAATTTGGAATGGGCCAGGTACTCTCTAAAATGGTCATGTTCCAACCATGTGCCAGTGCTGCCTGTCCCATTCCTGGTGACATCTGGCCCTTGTAGGACAGAGACAACCACAAGAGCCCCTCCTCACCCCACGAGTCCAGGGTCCATCACCAAATAAGACTCCAGAACAGGAAAAGGTTTTGAGGTTATTTTCCACTTTCTTCCCAACCAGTGAAAATCAAGATGGGCCAACCGCCTTTAGAGAAGTTGTGGCTGCCCCATACCTGGAAGTGTTCAAGGCCAGGTTGGACAGGGCTTGGAGCAACCTGTTCTAGTGGAAAGTGTTCCTGCCCATGGCAGGGGGCTGGAAGGAGATGATCTTTAAAGTCCCTTCCAACTCAAACCATTCTATCAACCACGGGTCAGCTGCCCAACAGGTCCTTGGGCTGCGACATCCCACTGACTCCAGTGCTCCCCATTCATGGGAGCAGGTCCCTTTGCCATGGCAGTGGACCAGGCAGGGCTGGCTGCTCGCTCGGCTCAGCTGGATGGGCTTGGTGTGCGTTTGCAGTGTGAGATGACATCTGGGAGGATGGCTCTGGCCGTGTGCTGTGCTCCAGCCTTCGGGCAGCCTTCCCCAGACCTTCTGACCGTGTGTTTGGTTTTCAGGGCCGCCCTGGCCTCTGCCCACCAGTGCCACCCCCTTCCTCAGACCCTCAGTGTGCTGAAGAGCACCCCTCAGGTGAGGGGCATGCACACCATCATCAGGTAAAGCCCCTACCACGGCTCCCAGGGTGGGATGGGGCTCAGCTGCCACTGGGGTGGGCTCGGTTGTCTTTGGGCTCCCCAGTCCTACTTCTACCTGTCCTCACAGCCTGGGGACACAAGGCAGGGGTGGTAGCCCCTGCATCGAGGAGCTGTGCAGTTAGTGCTCAGTGGTCTTGCCAGCAATTTTATGCTTTTTACTTTAAAACCGACACCATGGTTCCAGGCTCAGATGGTGCAAATGAGCCAGAGAGGAGCAGGGGCTGCCTCTGAACTCTGCCAGCATCTCCTGGGGCACACTTTGGTCCACAGCTGATGTTACCTTTCCCTTCCCTCTAGAAACAAGGAGACCAGCAGAGACGAGTTCATTTTCTACTCCAAGAGGCTGATGCGGTTGCTGATTGAGCACGCGCTCTCCCTGCTCCCATTCCAGGTGGGTTCGGGGCTGTAGATGCTGGGTTTCCTCTCTAGTTTCTAACCCAAAACTGCTGGGGAGCCAGGACAGTCCTGGTAGTGCTCCTCCAACCTTCCCCATAGATCAGCCCTTTCCCCCGGATTAAAAAGCACCGGGGCTCCCTGAAGCTGTGCAGCGATGGTGTGGCCATGGGTGACAGCTCTTTGTCCTGCCTTGGTGTCCAAGGGTCCAGCCCAACCCATGGCTGGGTGACTTCAGGGCTCCTCTGACAGCTGTGTCAGAGCTGCTGGTAACACTTCTCACGTGGTTTTTGTAGAGTTGCACAGTCCAGACCCCTCAAGGACATGACTATGAAGGGAGGACGTACAGCGGGAAGCAGGTAAGTGGAAGCCAAAGCACTATTGAGACCTGCCCTATGGCGGTTCACTGGAAGCCCTGTGGGTACAGGGAAGGACCCCCCTGGCTGCCATCAGGCTGGGTTTGGTGCCTGCTGTCATGAGTGTGGCACCCTGGACCGTTGGGTCAGGCATTTCAGTGACCAAGAGTGCCATCAGCACTGTGCCACTCGTGCCCTCCAAATGGGAGGCAGCCTGGGCTGGGAGCGGCACACTCTCTTGGAAGGGATGTGCTTTGGGGTTACCCATTAGAGTCCCCTGCTGCCAAGACCCAGTGCCATGTGGGGTGGGGGTGGTGGCAGTTCCTACACCGTGTGACCACCCCGGCTGTGTGCTGCAGATCACCGGGGTGTCCATCCTGCGCGCAGGAGAGACCATGGAGCCGGCGCTGCGCGCGGTGTGCAAGGACGTCCGCATCGGCACCATCCTCATCCAGACCAACTGCAACACGGGCGAGCCAGAGGTAGAGCCTGGGGCTGCCCAGGACATCTGGTGTTAACCTGCACGTGCTGGGTGACTCAGGTGTTTTCTGAGAGCTCTTCAGTGATCCTGGAGTCCATCTTGGCAGGGGTTGAGTGCTTTGAAAGCTGCTCAGGTGGGCTTTGCCAGCGGGCTTGTGCACACAGGGGCTGCTTTGCTGCCCGAGTGTTTGCGCTGGCTCCGAGCTGACAGCCTGGGTCCCAGGGATAGAGATGAATGAGGGAGCGAGAGAAGTGCTCGGGTTGCTCCATTCACCCGCAGCCTCTAAGCTGCTCTCTCATCCTCTGCCCAGCTCCACTACCTGCGTCTGCCGAAGGATATCAGCGAAGACCACGTCATCCTGATGGACTGCACGGTCTCCACGGGCGCCGCAGCCATGATGGCAGTGCGGGTGCTGCTGGTATGCAGGGGGGTGGGTGGGTGGCTGGCTCCAGAACAACCTGCAAAGCACCAACTGAGGTGCTGTGTCTGGAACTGGCTCCTCCGTGGGAAGGATGGTGTCAGGGCACACGGTACAGGCTGGGGTGACTCTGACCCTGAGCTGTCCCTGTGCATTTCCTGTAGGATCATGATGTCCCAGAGGACAAGATCTTCCTCCTCTCCCTGCTTATGGCAGAGATGGGTGTCCACTCGGTTGCCTATGCGTTCCCCCGGGTGAAGATCATCACCACAGCTGTGGACAAGAAGGTGAATGACCTTTTCCGGATAATCCCTGGCATTGGTGAGTATCTGAGTAGGAATAACCTGTGGCGGGGGGATTTTTGGTGCTTCTGGTGGGGAGAGGTGAAGCCCTGGTTGTCTGTTTAGGTCTGGCCTTATTTTACCTGGGGACCCACTGCCCCTCCTGGGCCCTGCTGCCACATAGGTGGGATTGACATGCTGGCTCTGAGAGCTACCAAGCAGCTATTCCCTTTTAAGCATCGGGTGCCATACCACATAGCATGAGCCTCCTCCAGCCCCAGATGGAGAAGTCTGGCTGGGACAGCTAGAGCAGCCCTGTGCCCACCTCCTTCCCTAAGTTGCCACCTTCTACAAGTTCACCCAAAACAAGCTCAGCGTGTTCTTCTGTCCTCACCTCTGCTGTGCCAGGAAACACCCTTCCACCAGGTGCTAAACCAGCCTCCAGGCTGCTCCAGTTCTGCTGCCACTCAAGTTTCTGTGCTGTTCAAGCTGTCAGATAAACCTGCTTCTGTCCCCTTGCCTGCTGGGATGAGGACAGGCAGGAGGATGGGTCCCAGGGCTCCTGCAGTGCTGCCCTCTGACTCTCTCTCTCCCCACAGGGAATTTTGGCGATCGGTACTTTGGGACAGATGCTCCTCCCGACTGGAGCGACGATGAGGATGCCCTTAGCACTTAGCTGGATGTGGAGGTGCCACTGGCACCAGGCAGCTTCAGCACCGCACCTTAACCCCTCTGTCCAGTGCAGAATTCTCCTTCCTCTCACCAAGCATAGATATTTTTTTCAAATCTTACATCGGAGATCTAGGGCATATTTTTTCAAAGAAACATAAATCCTAGTTTGACTTTATGGACAGTCGTGTGTCCCAGCATAGAGCAGAGTTAATTTATTTTAATTTAAATATTTGCCTATATAACTTATTGGAGATATTTTATAAAGGACAATAATAAATTTTTTCTCTGGTTTTCTTGAACGGAGCCATTCTTTGTCACTTCCCATGGGCCCCCAATAGGATTTGTGACCCTCTGGGACTACTGTCCTGAGAGGGGAAGATGCCATGAGGAGTGGTGGGAGGTCGAGAATACCATGCTCTTGATCCGAGGAAAGACTTGGTGGCGGAAGAGAGGGAATTCCTACTGTCTGCAAGGAGACTCAAGGCTGGATATTAGGAAACAGTTCTTCCCCCAGAGGGTGGTCAGGCACTAGAACAGGTCACGGCACCAAGTCTACCAGAGCTCAGGAAACATTTGGACAACGGTCTCAGACACATGGTGGAATTGTTGAGGCTGTCCTGTGCAGGGCCAGGAGTCTGGACTCAATAATCCTTGTGAGTCCCTTCCAGCTTAGGAGATTCTGTGAAGTTCAGCTCGGATCACGTCACACTCCAGCTGAAGAAGCACCAAGTCCCTGTTTGAGTTCAGCAACTGAAGTGAAACAAGCTCACCCCAAGCCCAGCTCTTGCTGAATCAGAGCTGCTCAAGATGTGGTGAGGAGCAGGTCACGTATCAGTCCCAGGACTCTCTGAGCAGAGCTGGGTGACCCTGGTGGAAGGGGAGCATTCCAGCCCCGTGAGGGGGGTTCAACCTGAGGAGGCTATGACCCCTCCAGAGCATTTTTCTTTCCTGCAGGATTCAAAGTACCCATGCAACATCTTTGTACAGGAGATAAATGTGCCAAGAGGAGGAAACCTAATTCTCATCTGAGCATCCCAGGCCCAGAGCTGGCTTCTGAGGGATCAGGGAAGGCAGCCAGGTGCTGCTGGCACCTCGGGTCTGGGAGGGAGATGGTCTGCCAGGCCCTCACCAAAATGGAGAGTCACCTGGTGATCACTCAGTGTGGGCTTGGGTGTGATGAGCCTGAAATAACTGCCACTGTTCTGCGGCACATTCTGTAAATTCTCAACTAGATTTAAAAGAACACACACACCCGAGTTCCTGCCAGCACTTGGTGAAAGAAGGAGCCCCCAGCTAAAAGCCACACTCAGAGCCAGCACTGACACTTGATTAATGCCTTCTAAAAATAGGTCCTTGTGTGGGTGGAAGGAGAGCTCGTGAGTACAAACACTAGAGGACAGGCAGGCATGGGGTGGTTTTGGCTGGGTCAGCAAGTGAGCAGTGGTGGGACAAGGCACAACAATGTCACCATGTCCATGGAGGAACATATCTGAACCCAGAGTCCTTGCTCTGGGCTGCAGCTGCCAGTGCAGGAGCTCGGTGCTGGAGGAGCCTGGTGGCATCTTTCTAGACCATGCTCAGTGCCATGAACGAATGCCACTGTCATCCTTTGTGCATAAAGCTCCAGCAGACCTTGTTTGAGCAGAACTGTGGGTGTCCTTCAGGGAGACAGGAGCATGTGTGGGTGTAGAGCTCAGTTTGTCCCCAGAGTCCACTCTTGGGGTGTAGATCATGGAATCTCAAAATAGTTTGAGTTGGAAGGGACCTTAAAGCTCATCTCATTCCAACCCCCTGCCGTGGGAAGCTACGCCTTCCACTACACCAGGTTGCTCCAAGCCACATCCGACCTGGCCTTGAACACTTCCAGGAATGAGGGAGCCACATGTCACTTACTGGTGGGGGGGAATGCCCCTCTCATCTCCCAGCATGGTGAGTCTCTTCCCCCAGATAACAAGCAACAGGACAAGAGGAAGCAGTTGCACCAGGGAAGGTTTAGATTGGACGTTAAGAAAAATTTCTTCACCTAGAGGATGCTCAGGCATTGGAACAGGGTGTCCAGGGAAGTGGTGGAGTCGCCATTTTTCTTAGCAGATCCCTGTTTTGCCTCAGATGAACACTTTCCCCCGAGAGAGACACATTTTTCCTCAGATCTGTACTTCCTCCTCATCAAATGTGCATTTTTCCTTAGTAGGTCCCTATTTTGCCTCAGAAGATCTGCACTTTCCCTCAGTAGGTCGACATTTTTCCCCAGATCTGCACTTTGCCCCCAGCAGATCCCCATTTTGCCTCAGCACATCCCCATTTCACCCCTCAAACCCAGGCTTGCCACCACTCAGCCTGAGCTCAAGATGGGTTTGGACAAGGCTCTAAGGCAAATGGTGGGCTTCTTGGGGTGTCCTGTGCATGGCCAGGGGTTGGACTCTGTTCCTGATAATAAATAATGGCCAGTCTTCGCGAGCGAAGATTTTGGGAAAGGTCATTAACCCTTCGAGCCTGCGCAGTGGATTTTTTTTTAGGTGAGACACAGCGTGCGCTGAACTGAGCCCACCCTTTAATCCTGAGGTTCATCTGCCAGGGCCAAGCACGCTTGGACAGTGGCAGTGAAGGTCTCAGAACGTAGGTTTGTTTAGAGTGACCTTCTCTTAGATGGATTGCCTTACAGGGCTGACGAGCTCCATCTGCCCGGGGGGCCGGGAATCGAACCCAGGTCGCAGCGGTGAGAGTCCTGCACCCTAACCACTAGACCACCAGAGGCCCCCCTGTTCCTGATAAGCCCCTTCCAACTCAGCGTATTCTATGATTATTTTACCTCATTATTTTACCTCAGCAAACCAACTCCATGCCCATGCCAGCACCTCCCCCAGGGCGGCTGCTTCCGCCACTGGCAAACACGGCACCTTCCCTCCCCTCCCGCCCCAAGGGCTGCTCCTGCCACTGGAAAACATGGAGCCATCCCTCCCTTCCTGCCCTGCTTGAAGCAGCCGTGGCTGATTCATCAGCAAACGCTGTGGTTGGTGGCTTCCACCCCGGGTGGCCGCCTCGCCGCCGCCCTTGCCCTCACGCCACGGCGCCATCTTGGATCCGTCGCCCTCCCTGTCAGCCCGCCATGTTCCTCTCCCTCACCCCACCATTACAGGCGCTAACAGACCGAATTTATTTTGTTTGCGACAAACTGCTGGTAGCAAATGCCACGTCGGAAACAGTGTGTGGGCGGTGGGCGGCTCCCTCCCTCCCTCCCTCCCTCCACCTGTGCCTCGCTGCCCCCTCAGCTGGAGGCAGCGTTCCACCCCCGGCCATGCCGGCCATGGGCTGGGGCGGTGAAACAGAACAAAAAACGCTCTTTTTTTTTTTTTCCAAGATATTGATCTAAGATGTTCTGAGAAGTACAGGCCGTGGGGCTGTGCCACAGCAGGGTGGGGGATGCAGCTCCTCATCAGCCCAAACCGCCTCGCAAGGGTCACGCTATGATTTAAGTGGAAAAAAGGGCAAACGTGGTGGGTTTTGAGCCCAGCCAAGCCCAGCGCTCCACAGACCCTGACCAGGACAGACACACACCGCTCCAGATCCCACCTGCTGCTGACCAGCCCAGCCAGGAGCATGTGGCACACAGGGACACCATACAGGGACACCATGGTCACCCTCCCCACTGCCTCCTTCATAACATGAAGACACTTGGGAAAGGGGCTGAAAAAAAAGAAAAAAAATCCCTTTTTTCTCATTGCAACCCATGCTTCCATCTGTCCAATTAAAGCAGCCCGAAAAAAAAAATAAACCCCAAAAGTATTTGATTTATTGCTATCGCAAGGATACCATGGGCTCAGATGCATCCCCCTGCCATCACCGGGGTCCCACCTCCCATGGCAGGATCCCTACTCTCAGCAACACCTGCAGCTCCCAACCATCATTAGGGTCCCACCCTAGGACCCCCACTCTCAGCAGCCCCCTGCCATCATTGAGGTCCCACATCCCCCACCAGGACCCCCACTCTCAACGGCACCAGGACTGCCTGTGCTTGATTTCCTGCCTGGCATGCGGAGTGACCCAAACCCCGACTGGTCTGACCCATGGCAGAACCTCTTGCGCACCATCCCCTCATCACCAAAAATAGATCCGAGCAGTTAAAAAAAAAAACAACAAAAACCAACAAAAAAAAAAAAAAAAAAAAAAAAAAAACAAAAAAAAAAAAAAAAAAAACTAACAAAAAACCAACAGACAAAAAAGGCGAACAATGTCTGCTTGACCATCAAAGAGCAACCACAGTCATTTCGAGGCAGGAACACCTGAGAAGAGGACTTTCGGGTTCTGTTTTCTCTTTCTGCAGCAGATGGGCTGAGTTTTCTCTGAAACAGATGAAATCTCTCCTTGCTCGAGGTAACCGTACAAGGAGCTTCAGTGCTGGCAGCTGCTCCACTTGTGGGCTTGGTGGGGCTGGAAAGAAGCCCAGGGATCAATGGGTCAGAAGAAACGACTCATTTTCCTTTTGAACTTGTTACCTGCTTGTTTCTCATTTGGGCAGAAAGAGGCAAAACTTGTGGGCTGAAACCTGGGTGCTCACCCCAATACTCATCCGAGAACTCAACAGTTCATTGCAGGAGTGGGCTGTGCTGTCAAGGCCACCTCCTTGGCCTGAGTTTGCGTGAGCAACATGCTGCAGCTCTCTGGACCTGGCATCTCCAGCCCACAGCTCTGTAGGAAACAATCTTAGCCAATTGTTAAAATAATGCTGAATTTCCGTGTATTATAAACAAGAAGACTTGTTGCAAAGAATGGCTGTTGGCATCAAACACTCTGCTCTGCTCACAGAGGCAGGTTTTCAAAAGTCAATATCGAACCAGGGATGGAAAACGGGGTATTTTGAAGCTGTTGTATGAGGAGTGTCATGCACAGTGATCATGCAAGCTGATATATCCAACACGCTACACACAAATGTGTTTACCTGGTGCTACTGGAAAATTTTTCAGCAGCACCTTCATATTGTCTGCTGCTTAGAGAGATCCTTGGCCAAGCTCACTCACCAAAGAGGCATTTACAAACACCCAAGACATTTAAAAGACTTTATTGGACCTCAGTTCCTTTGGACAAGAGCCTGGAGTGACAGGACAAGTGAGAACAGCTCCAAACTGACAGAAGGCAGGGTTAAGTGGGATATTGGGAAGACATTCTTCCCTGTGAGGGTCGTGAGGCACTGACACAGGTCACCCAGAGAAGCCGTGGCTGTCCCATCCCTGGAAGTGTTCAAGGCCAGATTGGACAGGGCTCAGGGCAACCTGGTCTAGTAGAAGGTCCCCCTCCCCATGAC